GAAACGGTTCCACGAATTGCCGTGTTACTTTAACCGAACCATTGAATGCCTGCTTTTCCTTTAAAATCTACTCCATTTGTTTTCGTTCCCTTCTGTGGTTATAATGGTGTAAAATTCTGATCATACCAGAAAAGGGCAATCTCATGAAGCCGAGATTAGACACTAATAGTATTAATCCTTCTCTAATCCTAACCGCGATCCTTATCCACAGGTCTTCATTGTCTGTACTTCTGGCCTTCACGGGGCTGCGAACCTGACGCTCCGTTTCCAAGCGTGTGAATTAAGCAAATCAAGCGGTCAATATATAAGAAACAAATGGTAAAGTATTCACGAAATGTGCAATACTATTTGGGGAAATATGCTGTATGGAAGTTTACTGTTCGAAAGAAAATGAGAAATCTGAGCAATCCAGTGTTGCTTAGCGTCAACATCCGTTCGCTCCTGGGAAAATTAGATGAGTTATTTTGCAACGTGTGTTTTGGAAATTTCGCGTAATAATAATAAATGTGTCAGCTGCACGCCGTAACGGCGCTTCGCTGCCGCGCAACCACCACCAGTCGCGCGCGGGCTGAGTATACCGCGAGGACGCCAACCCCTACGCGGAAATTTAGCGTAGCCACGCAGCAACAAGTTGCAAGAAACCTAGCTCGACGAAGAAGTGGATGATGCTCTCATATCCATAGGAAAATATAGTTGCCATTGGGCTGATTGCCAATGCGCGCACCGAAACAGAGGTGGTTGTGTCCGCAGTTACACTGACACATTTGGTGTATTGTAACAAGACGCATCTTCATTTCCGTTTACAATGTGTCAAACGCCTAATCCTACAGTGCATGTTTGAGTGTTTGACTGGCTACGGCCCAATATTGTTGGCTAACATTTCTCACCTGCCCCAAATTTGAAGCATAGACTTTTAGGACGAATTCACAGTAGGTGTCATAAAACAAAACAGTTCTGTGTCTTCGCCAGAGATTACAACAGATTGGATACTACTCTTCTCATCGCTCTCGGGCTACAGAACATGGTACATTTGACCACCAGATAAGGCGCGAACACATACCTCGTGTTCGTTAATCTGAAACAGTTTGCAGTATGCAATCGGACTCCGATTGGCAGTTCCGATCTCTCAACAATCATCATCATCATCATCATCATTATACATGTCAGCTAGAGGTGGTGAAACACCTCCGCTATCGTACCGCAATACATAAAGGAAATACATACATACATACAATACATTAAGGGAAAATAAATTAGACAGTTGCATGCCAGCTGAGCTACCAGCAACGGATAGGCATCGTTCCGGTAAGCTACCAGCCAGCTACTAGGCAAAAAGAAAAAAGATTATTATGTGTTACCATACGAAATGACATCGTAGATAGAGGGGGAGGCTAAAGGGATGGGGAGGGACAAAGAAACTCAAAACACAAACGCCACTGAGGTCGGCCCCTTGCCATGTCAGCAAGTGTATCCAGCCAAACGTGTTCACCGTCTTTTGGACCCCAACCAAGGAGCCGTCAAGCTCCAAACGAGGCCAGCTCAGAAGTGAGGGACTTCATTCCCCTGGACCAAGTCATCGCTTGGCCACCTCTCCTCTTCTTCCACCCACATCCCCGGTGAGCAAACAACGCACGTCGAGGGAGTCGGTGGGCTGGCATGTGCAACACGTGGCCCAGCCATCGGAGCCTGGTGCGAGAAATAACGGTGCTGAGCGGTTCATTCCCTTTTCCTAGGCCGTAAACAAGGCGTCGAACACGCTCGTTACTCACGCGGTGTTCCCACCAGATGTGAGCCAAACTGCGAAGGCACCGATGGTCAAACGTAACTAGCCTCTTCATGTCCACCGATCTTAGGGGCCAGGTTTCGCAACCGTACAGTAAGGTCAAACATACCGCTGCATTGTACACTCTACCCTTCAGGGCGAGAGTAATGTCGAGCCGCCGCCATAGGTGGCGAAGGTTAGCAAAAGCACTTCGAGCTTTCGCTATACGGTTCGTGATTTCGTCTTCGATCCCAAGGGCGCTGATACAACTTCCCAGGTAATTGAATTTATGAACGACTTCTAGCTGATCCCCACCAAGGTTCAGCACAGGGGACGATCCCTGCCAACCTTGGAGGAACGCTTTGCACTTCGGTGGTGCAAAGCAAAGCCCGAAGCGGCTGACAGCCAGTGCTAATCTGTCCAGCGCGGCTTGGCACGTCTGGGAGCTGTCACAGATGAGGGCAATGTCGTCTGCATACTCCAAGTCAAGAAGTCGTTCTCCTGGGAGTAGCTCCACACCTTCCAAGTCATGTCCTGTAAATGCTATCTCCATGACTTCGTCAATAGCGAAGTTGAATAGGAAAGGTGACAGCGGGCATCCTTGTCTTACACCGCTGGAGATAATCAAGCTTTGTTCTGTCATTCAAACAAGACAAACCACCAAGATATCACCCGCTGTAATGATAAAGGGTCCAGGTGGAGGCAGTGCTCTTCACATAATATCGAACGACTTTGTAAAATTGTTTCATCTACAGACCCTGCTGAATCTAAATATTATAACAATTGGACATGCTACCTACATTTGTGATTTGACATCGGTTGCTCCTGGAGACTGTATGTCCGCGCGGACAGGTTCTCCTCCCCAAACTGAAGCGGCTACACTGATTTAAGGAAAACGACAACCAAAGTGAGATCTCTCACTGTTCGTATCAAAAAAGAGCTACGCAGTCGTAGACACGTGCAGATCCGGTCTGTGCTTGGGGACAGTAGCTATCGTAAACTATGGAGGATGCTGAAGAGGTTAGCCGACGTGTGCCACATTTTGGGGTAGATGCAGAGAAATTGAACAAATAATTCCGTAAATACGATACTAATATAGTCGCAGACGCTTCTTTGGTCCAATTTCTAGCGTCTGTAAATTCACTGCCTCCCGTTAAGTGCAAATAATATACTGAAACACATACGCTCCGGTAGACCTATTGGGCCGCATAGAATATCTCCCGTCACACACAGTAGATGAGCTGATTTTTAACAACGCCTCTTGCATCTGGATACAAAGTGTATGCAGCAACACAAAATCGCTGATAGCGAAGTAGTTTCAGTATCGCACCAGTGTCAAAAAAGGTTTCAAGAAATAACGGCCTATCGCTTGCACTTCTGTTGCCTTGAAGGTTTTTGAGAAAAGGATCTTTGAAATGATGCTGTCGCGACGCGCTAGATGCACCGCCTTCAGTCCGCTTACCGTAATTCGAGGTCTAGTCTAGATGCAGTGGCCTACCTCGTACGTTCCGCACAGTCACCACCTGAGGACAATACGAATTCAATCGAATGTGCATGCCTGAATACAGCAACGTATCCCACTGGGTAAACCGCTAGTGGCCGCTAAAAGATCCTCATCCAAGAAATACATCCCTTCATCGTCCACATTTCTGAATGAGCGGTTTGTTGGAGGCACTCAGATTACCCGACTCAGTGGCAGGTGCTACTCCCGCTAAGCAAAAACTCCCGTGTCTTTCAGGAGGCAATTCTGTCGCTTTTCTTTCGGCTATTTACGTTGGCTCGATACCAGCAGCTGAAGAAGAGACTATACTAAAGTATGCTAATGATATAGTCCCGGATAGCAATCATCGAGCCACTGACTACTGAGTCAGGTTGCATGATCCTCTGAACGATCTCAATGTTTCTCCTAACGCAATAAAGCGTCATGATGTTCTTCTTTCGTTACACAGAGGAGCCACGTACGAACAGCTTCTCATGCAATGTCCCAAGCTCCATAATGACAGCGAGCGCATTACTCTTCTACACTTGTGAATTATTTAGGTGGCACTAAAGTATGATTTATATTGGCGCTTCGTGCATATGGAACATTCACAAAGTTGCCGTGTTGCGCTTCTCTGACACCTCTTTGTCTTTCGTAATTCGACGCTCCGTTTTGTCAGAGCATGTGTCCTTCTCCACTGCACGTACCGTACCGTTTCCTGGGCAAGCATTTTAGGTTAACTGTCAAGTCATTAAGGCATCTATCCCGATGTGGTAGCATGTCGGTGTCTATCTTGTCTTTACACAGCTCTTGTAAGAGCATGATGTCAAATTTACTCGTGATACAAGTCTTCTCTGTCGTAAAGATTTATTCGAATGCTCGTCAATTTCGTCTACTAAACGGAAGTAAAAACCTACAACTCATTGATCATCTCACTTGTCTATCGCGTTTCGTGCTAGACAAAAGCGTAGTCGTTCTAGAAATAACCAACGGTTTCGCCATATGATGGCATTCCTGTTTATCCTGTATTAAACTGTTTTTATGGCAATGGTTTGTAATTGACTTGCCTTTTTAGGACACTGATGAGATCCAGTGTGTTGTAACTGAATATCCACCCGACCAGCGTGCATAAGACAATTCCTTGACTTCATTTACGTACACTGAGGCCGACATGAAGAATGTGCCACATGACACGGTGAATTTGCCCCTGATATTGTACAGTTTTATATGAGAAACAGCGTTAAGTGGCTTGCCGCGGAACTGCAAGTTTGCTCCTATGGTAACAGCAAAGGAATTTAGACATCGCAAGACAAGTTGGTTTGGAGGTGCCAAATTTACTGACGAATAGAACAACTACAGACATGCAGACCACAGACCCAACGTAATTCCCACTAGGAAGAGGGGGCGAAGTGGTAAATTTCCATCCGCACAGTTCTGCGCTAATTACACTCAAAAAAGCCTAAACTAGTAGACCCAAAATGGGGTACCTTGAGAAGCAACTTACTAACCAGTTAACCGGCCCACTTTACAGGGATAAAAATCCATCCGTTCCTTAGGAATCACCGAACTATCACCCTAGACAGTCACAGTCTTCGAATCATCTAATCAGTGTCAATAAACTAGGTAGAAAAGACACAACAAAAGACACACGTACGTACTGCGTCATCACGCGATTTTTGTGCTTATCGAACCAATACGAATCGCCACGTGGATCTCATCACCTTTTCAAAGCTGAGGTGAGGCAAAACACGTTAGGCACAAAAACTAGTTGATATGGACAACACACTATCTGAAATGACACGAAACCCAATGCAATGTAAGAATGTTTAAAATTGGCCAAAACGTGCTGTGAAATGGGTCAGCTTATTTGCCCTTCAATCATGGAATAACGGTCGATGTCGGACAAAGGCTGCTTGATGAATAGACGTGCCGTATCGAATGGCTCGATGATACTGGTTCGACCACTTGGTTCCCACATCGCTGGAAGGTCAATTTCGCGCGCGCGACGGTAAATGTCGCAGTTGTCGGAGCCCTCTGTCCGTGTGCGCTTCCGACGCCGATGAATGGGCTCCGTTCGTAACAGCGTGCTCGAACTGGGATTGGCTTCCACGACATTTAACGCACCACTAAAAGCGTCCTGGTTACTTTCTGAAAGTCTTAGTCGGCGGAATGCATTCAAAGCACCGAGATCAATGCTGTAGCGTCGACTTCTCCTCATAGTTCCCACCTCATTCGAGAGCGGTGTCGCGGTCTCGCAGGGCTTGCGTTTATCTGCTTCAATTGTCAGATCCGAGACCATGGAAGTTCGAGAGCGATCATCCTGCGTTAAAAACGAAGAGGTTAGTACTGGCTGGGAAATAACAAGTTGCTCTTTCGTCAGGGCATCGTCCGCAAACACCATTTTGTTTGTGTAGGTAACTTGTTGACCCGACCGAGAGGACTGGCTCTCGTCCCGAGTACGCAAATGCGCCAAAGAATCTGCAGTGGGAAAAGTATACAGAAAAAACCTGATGAGTTAACAAACAGACTAACCTGATGAAGACTAACCTCTGGGGCAAACTTAATGGTGAATATGAGTCCCACAAGTCGGTTTTAAGGATCATAAACTGGCAAAACATTTGATTATAAATGCACTACTAATATTGTAATAGTAGTTTCAGAAGTTTGCTTACGGACTATACACCACATAGGTCTAGGCCGTGTTACGAAGTTTGGAGGATGTGGGAAATCGTGCTGTTGGGATGAGACGGCCTTTCAGAGCATTCCGAGATGATAGCAACTATGTGACTGAATCCAGCTGGAAATCAGCAGTCTAACGGTCGTTTCTCATAGCCCTGCGGCTCAATCCGAATTCTAAGTGCTTCCTAGTTATCTATGTAGAATGCAGTGTGTACAAGCATTGTTAAGGCATTTAATTATCCTAACAGCTGCTCGCGATGATTCACGACGTAACACCAAATTAGGCCTATTTATCGATGAATTAAGCCTATCGGCAATGGGTTGAGGTAACGTGTATGTCTACTCGAGAATGAGCATGTGCTGGAGGTTCGTTGATAAGGTGACCTATTCGTACCTTTATATTAAATGATTGAAAAGTTGGTGCATGATTTGAGCTCAATGAACCTAGGCTGGTCAGTAATAACAAGTATGTGACGGTTTTACCGTCCATTTCACTTGGTTCTGATATGTTAATCAACTTACGGTCGCCGAAGTGTGTTGCCAGTAAGACAAGAAGCGAGAATGTTGAGGCAATTAGGCAAAAAATAGTGATAAAAGCTGAACTCGCTGAATGAAAGGGCTTCGAATAAACAGTGAAGGATAAAACACAAAAATGAAAGTAATTAATTCCCTTCGGTAGGTTGAAAATTAAAGCAAGAACACACCAAGTGGTAAATGAAAGCAATTCGTATTGAAAATAGGCAGTGGCCGTTCCGTAGAACGCTGGCATCCTCGATAAGTAATTACTCATAGATTACTGATAAGCGGATTCAGGCCGGTAGTGCGTTCAAAGTTTTGTTGCGTCACTAAACCGCGATATCCTCAGTTTGATGAGGCTATCGCGATAAGTCGAATGAAGTTAGTGCTGTGTGTTGTTTGTCATCGTCAGGCTGCCGTGAACATAAGGACCGAATCGACATTAGCCATTAGTTTGAACCTCAAGTTTGCTCGGTCACATCGACTGTTTGGTATGGTTTCATAAGGGTTGTTTGTATTCGTAGTAGAGATAATACAAAATCCAATTGGCAAAACACAAGGCATGACGTTGACTTTTGGGTTGAGTCAGAGAAGATGGGGATCTACCTGATAGTGTGGTTAGTGTCGAAAGTGTCAGTCAGGGGAAAGCACATCAAGGCACGGGTCTTCTGAGCAGTTTCATAATGCTTTGCTTAAAGTAACCATCTGGTCAGTTTGATGTCCCATCTATTCAGGTAAGCAAGTTGTCGCAACCAACAGTGGAAGAGTAAGCATTCTAAAAGTGAAGGCTAGGTTTTAGATTACCGGTCGTGTGTTTAGATCGTCACACGAGATCTCGGTAAGGATACTGGTTTGCTTTGAAGTGAACCTAAATCGTTCCGATCTCCCCAACTGTCTGCACCCGATGAGTCTAAAGGAAGACGAAATTAGTCGTGAAGTGGGAGCGTTTAAAAAATTAACACTAAACCCCTTAACCCTGGATACGGTACCAGTAATCGGAATGACCTAGGTCCCAAGCGACACAACACGTCGCAATCCAACTAAACGATGAGTACTCTAAACCTGACTTCAAATACCTAGCCGTTGCGCCGTGTTGTTCATGGATCTCAGTGGCTTAATGATCAAGGTATCGGCCGCTAATCAATATGTTCCGCTCTCCGATCCGGAGTGTAGCATGCAAAGTCAGAAACAGCGAAAAATCCCCGATATACTAGTGATTAGGAGTGACACCGAACGACTGGTGCACCCGAGCTACTTCTCCTGCGAACTACATCGCAGAGATTTCGTTCATGGGCGAATCAAAACGAGGGGCCCCGCCTTTATGGTTGACTAGATGGTGCCTCGGGTAGGTTGTTAACCAGGAGGCGCCCTGGTAGGCTAATGGGTTCCCTTATCTGGTTTGTGGGTATGAGTCTAAGCTACGAAAAGTCATCTAGTCAAACAGTGGTGTCCCCGGTAAAGCGAACAGCGATGTCCAATTGACAATAACTGGATAAAACGGTTGTTGGGCAATTCAGCCCCGTCGTCTCACTCCTAGGTCGAGTCATTCCAGGGCCGCTTCATACTCGGTTGTCCCATCTCCATAATACATCGTACCACGATTGTTTTCTTATACAGCTGAACCCGGTAAATTAATAACACGTAGTTTATTTCACCTACATACAAGTATGCGGTAAGTCTGTTTAATATCGGGTACACACAATAGGGCCCTTAAGAACGAACTATCGCACACGTTTACTAATGTGACATGTTATTTGTCATCATCATCATCATCATTATATACGTTAGCTGCAGATGGAAAACACCTCAGCTATTGTGACGCAATACAAAAGACAGTGGCATGCCGGCTGAGTCCCAGTAACGGATGGACATCGTTCCGGAGAGCTAACAGCTGGCTATCGTGCCGTAAAAAGAGTTATATTAGGCCTAACGACTAAGATCGTGATTGGAGAGGGATGCTAAACAGGAGGGGGATGGACAAAGGAACTCACAACACAAACGCCATTGGGGCCGGCTCCAAGCCATATCAGCAAGTGTGACCAACCAAACGTGTTCATCGTTTTTAGGACCCCAGTCAGGCACTCGGGATGCACCAACCGTCGCTAAGTTCGTAGTGAGGGTTTTCATTTCTCTTGACCAAGTCATCGCTTGGCCTCCCCTCCTTCTCTTCCAAACGCAACCCCAGACGAGCAAACAATGCACGTCGCGGAAGTCGGTGTGCTGGCATGCGCAGCACGTGGCCCAACCATCGGAGCCTGGTTTGTGACATAATGGTGCTGAGCGGTTCACTCGCACTTCACGCATTAAATACGCGACGCCGAACATGCTCATTGCTCACGCGGTGTTCCCACCAGACATGAGCTAAGCTGTGAAGGCAGCGATGATCGAATATGACGAGCCACTTTATGTCTGTCCACCTGATTGGCCAGGTTTGACAACCATATAGGAGAGTTGAACGGACGGCTGCACTATAAACTCTGCCCTTCAGGGCGTGAGTGATGTCGCGTCTGCGCCACAAGTGGCGGAGATTGGCAAAAGTACCTCGAGCTTTTGCTATGCGGTTCGTAACCTCATCTTCAATCCCACGGGTGCTAATATAGCTGCCCAGGTACCTGAATTCCTGAACGACTTCTAGCTGATCACCACCAAGCGTTAGCCCAGGGTTGGGTCCCTGCCAATCCTGGAGAAGTACTTTGCATTTCGATAGAGCAAAGCATAGCCCAAAACGATTGACAGCCAGTGCTAATCGGTCTAGTGCTGCTTAGCAGGTTTGGGAGCTGTCACAGATTAGGGCAATAGCGTCCGCATACTCTAAGTCAAAAAGCCGCTCCACAGGAAGTAGCTCCACATATTCTATGTCGTGTCCAGCGAACGCTGTTTCCATGACTTCATCAATAGCGAAGTTAAAAAGTAAAGGTGATAGCCGGTAACCCTGTCTTACACCGCTGGTGATACTGAAAGGTGGCGAGAGTTTGCAATAAACCCTCACTCTGCCCCAACTATGCGCGTACAGCGCTTTGATACTCTTTACATATTTATCAGGCACACCTTTCCTCAGCAGACAGTCCTAAAGGGCACGTCTATCGACCGAGTCGAAAGCACCTTTTATGTCAAGAAACACAACAACGGTGGGTCGTCAATTGACACAAGGTGAAGATGTGGTCGATGCAGCCCCGACCTCGACGAAATCCGGCTTGCTCTTCACGAATCTGGCTTTCACGGGTGCTAGTCAGTCTGTGGAGAATGACAGAGGCAAGCAATTTAGAGGCAATCAAAATCAGACTGATCCCTCTATGATTGCCGCATTCTAAACGGGAGTTTCCCTTGAAAATTGGGACAATGACGGAGCGGTTCCAGTCTGTCGGGACTGTCTCCTGCTCTCAAAGTTTCATTAGCAACTGGTGTAGATCATCTACTAGAGCAATTCCCTCGAATGTGAAGAGAGCTGCGGAAATTCTATCTGCCTCTGCGGCCTTATGCAATTTCAACAGCCTGATCTCACCCTTGCACTTCTGCGCATGAGGGCGGATCCAAGGAGACGGCCCAGCGAGAAGGGCACTCAATGCCCGAAAAAGAAAACGATAACCCAGGTTGGTTAAATTGCCTTGCAAAGTGTTCAGGTCAACGATCCAAGCGTTTTGACAGACTGTAGATCGGCTGCCCACTCTCGTCGCGTATGGTCTCGCTAACACCAGGTCTCCTGCTGTCTGTTTCCCGTATCAGACGGAATAACTTACGATGATTGCCAACGGTAGCGGCTGTTTCCATCTCAGAAGCACGATGAGACCACCAGGTTTCGCGGTCTTTCTTCAGGCTAGCACGCAGTTTTGCCCTGAGATTTTTGCGAGCCTCATTGTATTCGCTTCCAGCCGGAATACCTCGGCGAGCATCCATAAGTTCCAGAGACTGTGTAGAGACCCAACGTCCGGTTTGGCAATTTGCTTTGCCACATGAAGACATGTCTGCTAACAATAACGTTTGACGAATATGCGACAAGTGATCTTCGACGGTGTTCAGTGTGCGCTTACTCAGCCCACATTGATACACATTCAGAACACCTGGCTTCGCCAGCTGGCTGGTGTCAATCCGTTCACATCGACGATGCGGACGTCCACCGAAACGCACCCGGAGGTCGACGCAGACAAGTGCGTGGTCAGAGTCCACGCTCGTGCTCCAAATCGGGCGACAGTTTTGGACACAGCCTCTCTAGCGGTAACTGATCACGATATGATCGATTTGCGTCCATGGCTGGCTCGAGGCTGGTGGCCGCCAAGTCACGCTTCTGCGGGTGCTGTGTCGAAAGTTTGTGCTCGCGAGAAAGTGGTGAGCATCTTCACACAACTGTAGCAATCGCTCACCGTTATCATTACGGGAGCCTACACCATGTTGGCCGCCCAGATGAAGCTCATCAGAGGACAATTTTCTGACTTGGGCGTTTAGATCGCCAGTCAAGACCACAGTATCCGTGCTTCTTCTGTAACGAAGGAGCTCGTGAAGTTGTTGATAGAAATAATCCTTTACCGAATCAGTGCTACAGTTTGTAGGAGCGTAGGCCTCAATGATAAACAGGCACCGTTTGTCCCCGCGCGACTTCTAGCATGGAACGAACCAGCTAATCTAACGGCGCACATCCTACTGTTTACTGGGATCCAATCGATCAAGGCAGCTTCAGCCCGGGGACTTAAAACAATGCCGACGCCAGCTTGACCGGCATTTGAAGCTGCATCATCGCCAGACAGGCGCAATGAGAATGTGCCGCCAGTGTTGCATGTGGGGGATCGCAGGGTAACCACAGAGCTCGAATCTTGCAAGCAGGTTTCTGATAAATAGCAAATATCGATCGAGAGGGTCTCTAGTGTGCGGGCAAGTGCTGCCTGCTGGCCAATCTGTAGCAAAGCGCGCACCTTGATACATGCTAGTCTTAGCGAAACGTGAGGACTCCAAAGGAAAGCGGATGAACTTACGTTGTCCGCTTAGTTGAACATGGACTTGTCGACTGGATTGGAGAGACGCCCTGCGACTGTGTGTGATTTGAAACTAGAAGACAAGCGACTATTGAAGCAAGGTGGGGGAGAGCCAAGAACTGGGGGATTGAAAATGGGGGGATAAAAGTAAAGTTGGAGGGGGACGATAAAGATGAAGAAGCGCAAGAAGGGAGATAAGAAGATGGGAAGGCCTGAGCAGTAGCATCCAAACCCCTATCCACCCTGCTCGATGCAGCAGATAGGGCACCGTTGATTATCCTCTGCGGTGGCCAGAGTATCAAGAAATTGTTTGATGAAGGGTTCATTGTATTGCGTGGGCAGAATACTGTCAGGTTGCCCAGGCCTAGACAGGAGAACGATTAGGGTTCTCAACCAAAGCCTTTGGTTCAAAAACCTTACCGCAAGGCAGCGAGTTTTGGCATTGGACTAGAGAGAGCCCGTTTTATGAAATAAGGAGCCACCCTCATTCCAACCCGCAACCTGGAGGACCAATGTGGTATGAGTGGCTCTGAAGGTGCAAAAAAAGCACCATCCAGCATAGCTCAATGGATCTCTGAGGCACGCAAACCATCGCACTACGGTAAGGTTCAGCTTCATTGCGATGGACATGTTATTTGTATACATGTCATCTGTATGTTATTTTCTTGAATTTTTGATTATAAAGTATTCGGGCTTAACTCACGGCCTAATCCGATGGTCGTAACGAAGCTGGGAAGTTTTGATAACAAACGTAAGGCGCGCTGATTTAGGCCAGGCTACCCATCGCTGTTTTATCTTTCATTTGCCAACGCAAACTGGACATACGTCAAAAATAACTGGTCAAAATAGTCGGAGAAGATAATGGCCTTAAATGTAGGAAACGATCTGGGAATGAATCGATCTAGGGGTGAATCTATCGGCTACCGAATAAAACAGGTAACCTCTCACTGCCATTAACTGTTAACAACTACGTCTCCGTTTCATAAAGCGACAACAACCACATTCCGGGATTGTGCTTCACGTCATCGATCAGTAAGATGATGTCCCGCGTCGTATTTACATTTGACGGGACGTATTCAAGAATTCCACAGCGTTACCGATGCGTATTCCTCGTTTGCGTCATTGAACGATTGGGACGGTGATGGAGTCCCCCACGCAAAGAAACCCAGAAGTAGGGCGACGTGACTGACCAGCAAAAAAGTGAGACCAACCAACGACGACGTCGCGGAGCAAATGCATTGAGGACACGAATGTGTGAAGATTGAAAGTTGATGGAAAAAACGTGTCCGACAGATTGGCTAACAACAAGTAGTTAAACCTTGTCATGAAGACGTTGAAATGCTCGCCCAGCCAGATCATTTTGTTGCAGACGTCAAGTGTACGCCAATAAAAAATAGTGAAGTCGATAACGAGTTATCCGTTGAAAATAGTAGTGCTAAGTAATGAGGAATAATTCTGGAATAGAGAAGTGGAAATACTGTCAAACTGTACATAATAATGGTGATGACTACGATACACACTATTATAACGGATCTCTTCGATTTTACATAGCACTAACAAAATGTACACTAGCGGAGAAAAAATCTACTGAATAACGAGTAAATATGTCCTCTTACAGAGAGAGGCGATGGTGTGGGTCCTGACAAGATCCCCCCTCACATAGAAACTAGGAATCGGCATATACGTAGAACAGAATGCTCCTGCAACGTACTAACCCTACGGGAATTTTCGTTATTCGCTCGCCAAGCCATACTCAGTAACACACTTCTCACTAGTTTGGATTCTCCGAAGAACGATACCTGGGCCGTAGACTGATTCGGTGACTTTGTGAATGACGGTTGGCATAGATGAAGCGAAGCTACAACACTCGTCGATGGTTATTCTTGAGAGTTGGAGCATCCGAATCGTGACATGTAAACACAACTTAGGCCAGGAATGAGAAAAACACGACCCATGATCATGTGCGATCAAATAAAGTAAAATATGAACTCATTTCGAATTAGTGCTTTGTGAAGTAACTTGTACGTGTGGGGCAAAGAATATCTTCATTCTGAATAGAAGGGCGAATCCTGGAAATGCAAGCAGGAAATCTGACAAAAGAGGAAACTTGCCACCACATGTGATACCTGTGGGCGCTTGATACTGGTCGCGGCATTGGTCTGACGAAACGATACTGGCCTCCTTGGGGAGATCAGGATCAACGTAATGGTGAATCCACAAATCGGATTTGAGGCTAGCGCCAACGCCGTTGGTTTCTAGGGCAGCAGATTCGATGCTTTCGATAACCGGCCTAAAATCGTCCACAGTGGCGCCAAGCTCCGTGGAAGTGAATGCACTTAGGTCGGAACAGCAGCCAGATTCGCTTCGGAACCGGCGTTGACGCAGAACCATGGGTAAAAATGGATCCTCTTCTCTAGTTGATTGGTCGTATCCGGTGTAGCGAACGGGGATTGGAGGTCTATGCGGATGTGTTTCGGCATACAAGTGTTCTGTGTGTGGCTCCGACGCGGTACGCTTAACGATGGAAGGGGACTCGGGGTTTGTCAATTTTGGGTCTACTGTCGTGGCGGGGCTAACCTCGTGTGTCTGTGAGTAAGCGGCACTGGCTTCTCGTATGTACGCTTTGACATGAGCATAAGCGAAAGATAATAGCGTCATATTGGCGATAATCTTGATGCCAAAAAGTCTGCAAGGAAGGAGGTAACCAAAAAGATATCATTGTGTTTGTTCAGATAGAATTATCATAGTGAACAATCGAAAATTGTATCCAAAAAGCGCTGTCAATAGCACAACGTGTGAACCTTAGTATGTTACAAGGGAGTACGTCGACCCGTGGCCGAAACGACAAGGCATCTGCTTTGCAACCCAGAGGTCACGGGTTCGAGCTTGAGTAGGGGATCGGGCGACTCTCGCAGTACACTTAGCTTTCGCGCGACCGGTGGTGGTTGCGTGGCAGCGAAGCGTACCGGTGTACTGCTGATGCCTTTAGCAAGAGAATGCAGAAAGTTCCGTAGATCAAGAGGCTTTTAATCCTGTAGAGCAGATAGATGAGGGCTCAAATCCGATTTAACCGAGACCGAGTGCTGTACTGTGTGCGTAGAAGCTCTGAAGACTAGTTGATCAGAGGATAATGGTGTGCCCGCTGATGTTTGCCAGGATTAGGGGCATTAAAAAGTTGGGAATCATGCAGGCGGCTGCACAGTAGGCGCGAAAGAGCATCACTGGCAACGAGTCCGGTGGGGCAGCCAAAATTTCATTGTCAAAAATCAGGTGAAGAACACGAAAGCTAACCTGAGGATGGAAACATACTAAGCATGCACAAAGATGAAAAATCGGTCATTTCCGTCCCAAATGACCAGGTGGTTACAATTACTGGTTTGTAAGAGTGCAGCGTGAGTTCTAAGCTCGCAAAGGGCAGGCGGAGTGAACGCTTGCGAAATACTAAGACGAACGAAACGACCGTCCCCTTCTTGTTGGGATATATCAAGTCAAAGTAGTTGTTCGAGTCCAGCTGTAAGAAACGCAACTTCACAAGGGGCACAATGGTAGTATTTGATACACGTTAGCTGAAGGCGAGAAACCCACTACAACTATTGTGTCGCAATCCATAAAGACATACAAAAATAAAATACTGAACATTATAGAATGCAGAAAACAGGCAACCCACTGTAACACACTGCATCAACTCTAGTGTTCGAGCAAGTGATGCCTGTTGGCCAATCTGCAAGAAAGTGCGCTTGCGAGTCTTAACGAGGAACCGGGGCTGCAAAGAGAAACCGATGAACTGATATTATCCGCTTGGTTGAACATGGACTTATCGACTGGACTGGAGCGACGGACTGCCATAGCGCGTGAGTCGAAATTAGGAAACAAGCAAACGGTGAAACAATATGGGGGTGCCAAGAATTGGGGAGTTGTAAACATGGGGGAGAAAAGTAACGTTGGAACGTGATGATAAGGATGAAAGGGTGCACGACGGGGAGGCTTGAGCAGTAGCATTCAAAGCTTTATTCACCCTGCTCGATGCAGCAGATACGGAGCGTTTGCGACGGTCAGACCATCAAAAAATCATGTGGAGATAAGTTGGTAGAGTCGTACTGCGCGGGCATGATACTGTCAGGCTGCCCGGACCTTATGGAGGAGAACGATTGAGATTCTCAACGCAAGTATTTGGTTCAAAAACATAACCGCAAGAAATCGAGGTTTCAACGCTCGGTTGCAGATAGTTCTTTTTATAATGAAATCGCCCTTACTCCAACCCCCAATGTGGAGAGCCAGAAAAGTGAGTTTGTCTGGCCTCTAACCATTGATCAATCCGGTATGACTGGCTTCGAAAGTGCAAAATAGCACACTCCAGCATAGCCCAGTGGATTGCTGAGGCAGGCAAACCATGGGGTGAATGGTCAAAGAGGAAACAATAAACCATTAACTATCACAATACCTGATTAACTAGAGTCAGTATGTCTACACAGAAACGATCATGTGAAACATGTCAGCTGGAATTCCTGAATTGTTTAACAAGCTCTGTGGATAATGACGATGTAGCTATTATCGTTTTCATTGGCATGTAAAAAGTATTCGATAGAGTGCTGCATCATCCGCTGCTAAGGAAAATGCCAGAATTTGGCATCATAGACGCCTTGCACGCCTGGTTTGGATCATATCTTACTGAGCGCACTCAACAAGTGTAAATAGGTACCCACAGATCATCATCGATGCCTGTTACTAGTGGTGTGATCTAAGGGAGCGTCCTTTGTTGTATACTGCTATTTTTGATGTACGTTAATGACATAACAGAAATTAGTTAAATTGGTACAGCCTACCTTTTGCAGATGATATTAAGACACTGTACATGTTTACTAATAGAAATCTGGAACAAAGTTTGGAAAAGATATGGAGTGATTTATTAGCTCTTGAAAGATGGTGTAACAACAGGCAAATGTCATTCGCGGCGGATGAATGGGGATCTTAGCAGCCGATCCAAAATAGATATGAACACCCTATACCTCTGTAGAAAGCCATTCCGCAGCACAGTAAAATAGTTGGGTATTCATTATTTAAGCACCCTCAATTTCGGGGAGCAGATGAAATTCATAGCAGCCAAAGCCGGTCAAACAGCACGGTTAAGTTTCAAATCACTGATATTGCGTGATTCCAAGCTGCATATGTTAAAGATCTGCGTGCGCCCTCTTTTGGAATACTGTTCGATGATATTTACAAGTTAAAGAAAACGCGATCGTCCATGTCTAGAGAATGCGCAGCGTCGATTCACCAAAGCCCTATTTGCCGAATCCCCAACACCAAACTATACGGAGCGCTGTATTCTGCATAAGTAGGAGCCGTTGTGGTTACGGAGATTGAAACAGGTCCTGAAATTTTTATGCGACCTAGTTCACAAAGAAATATTCGCCCGCACACTAGTACACACTTCATTCAGAATGAAATGTATAACATTAGGAATAAGAGAAATTCGCTCTCCACAAGCAGAACAAAAACAAGCATAGGCACGAAGTTTTATCTGACGAAGTACTCAGATATCTTGAACAGGCCACCTACTGAATTGTGACTATGTGTGTCGAAACAATCGTTTGGGAAATGATAGATACGTACCTCACTGTGTTGCAAGTCAAAGAACTTATGAAACTGGACTGCAGAGTATAGTCAATGTATGAAGAAGTGGCTGAATTATACGGACACTGAGACAACTGCACGATAATATGTGCGAACTGTCTGAATAATATCATCGTTTACTTAAACCATTAAACTTATTCCCATTTCAACATCAAGTTACCTTGCTTTTCGCCATACAAAGCTAATCTTCCTTCCTCTCTTTACATTTGCTGCGCACTGTTAATTGTTATTATTTCTTTTCCGGAGAAAACAACTCATCTACCTATGGCAGTTCTTGATGCTCTGTGAAGTCCAGTTTCCACAGCAACTACTCTACAATTCGATTGTCTGGAGTATCTGGATCTGTCTCAAAACCGTTCAGAGGCTTTTTTCGTTACTTTTCTCTGTATTCCCTATTTATAACCTAAAGCAAACGTGTCGGCTATATACCACTCATTTATCATTACTTGTATTTCTCCACCTTCTATACTTCTATTTTGAACTGTTGACTATGAGGGGGCCGATCTCCTGAGGTGATGGAATGAAGCTTCAGCATCAGTTAATACATCCATGTGTGACGAATTGTCACAGAACTAATGCTGAGAAAAGATATGCCTAGTCAAGGCAAATTGGCACACATTTATCGAGTGGAAAAGGTGTCAGACCTGAAAGAGTCAGAAGCCGAAATAAGGTGAATGACCAACGAGAGTCTTAAAAACGAAAAACATGAGAGCTCAGTTATCAACACGAGTCTATTACTCATTATATATAAGAACGGCCATAAAAAAGGAGTTAGTATGGTGATGCCTGGCTTGTTGTTATGCCACACCGACACAAAACCAAATGTAAAGTGGAAGTGCGGATGAAACCTTTCGAGAGAATACCCCGCATGGAAGCAGGTGCCCAGGAGTCAGTTCCACGGTTAGCCGTATTAATTCTATTTTGCTTTTTGCAATAACCACCTTTATCCTGCTTTTAAACTCTGCTTCTTTTTACCATCTATACCAATAAAATTCTCCAAATGCCTGATTTTGAACTCTTTAGGAAAATCTGAAATAACATGTGCACTTTGAGATCATGTTGATCAGTCCAAGTTTTGGACTGTAACTCGCACAGTCGAAATATACATACAAACATTGCACCACGTTAAAGTCCAGTCTCGTTGCGATGGACTCAATATCACGAGAAAGGAAATTATCTTTGCGGGCGTCCCTGAGATGGATGCTAAGACAGCTTTGTCATTGTAATTATTAGCATCATTATTATTGTTTTGTGCAAAGGGCTTAGAAGAAATCTAGCTGCCGCTTGGAACCACTGAACACTGTATATTTCCCAACAAAATAATTTGCAGACCCTTGAATGAGGTCCCGTCACAATAGTTTTACTATGACAGCAAATGTTGTCATGTATATGAACACGATGGTGCGTAGTACTGTGATTGACAAGACAGGTTTCGAGAAGTGTGCTGCCTACGACATTCGCCTCCGAGTTGCACATCGGCTCAGAGCGCGTGGTGTACTTGGCTTAGGGGTTCAATGGGTCAGATGCAGGTCCCATGTATTTTTCTCATATCCGGTATCAGCGTGTGTTCTATGCAGAGATGAGGAGAAAATGCGGGTTCGTTTGGTGAAATGTAGCAAATATAACGTGTGTAAATTGACTGACTTTGTGCCTGGCAGCTAAGACCTTCGGACAACAAAACTGTAGAAAAGCAAAAACTCGTCGAAACATGATGTAGTCTAGCATTGGCGTTGGTAGTCTATTAGGACACAATCGTTGTCACCGTAAAACGTATCGGGATGCGATGGGCATGGGGGAAGCGAAAACGCTAGTAAAACACAAGAAAAATGGGGCAAAGCTGACACTTACAAGATGATGGTCGTCGGTAGGCACAGCCAGAGAAAACTGGGGTTCCGCACTGTTTGCAAGAGCATCACATTGATGAGACAACTCAACGGGATTGGTGTGAGGCCCATTCGACGTGACAGTAGATCAAAATAGTCCGCGGTGTTCTGCGCGGAGAAGGTACAAGAGTAACAGAACGCGATGATGATAGAGTGATTTGAAAAGAGGACCATAAGTAATATATTCGCATGAAAAGTCCGAAAAACACACAGGACAAATCAGATGACACTCAGTTTATGCTCAGTAAACGGCGAGTTGCAGTCAGTTATCTCCATTTGTATGGAAACAGTAACATTATCACAAGCTGTACAACCAGGGTGATCTGAGGAAAGGAGAATAATAACAGGGATAGAAGAAGTACCTAACATAAAACCTCAATGCCTGGAGTAAACATTCATGGTCAAGGCGCTTCAACTTGTCAACAACCTACCAGCACAAACAGCTTCCTTGCACCTTTCACTGCCCCGCATCATAATCAGCCATTACTTCGCAGATAAATCAACACCAAACACATTTTAAACAGCCAATCCGAGCAAACGTGCTATTGGTGCTAAGGACCAGTCATGTACCGTAACGTCTCGAGTTAAGCACGTGGATTCCAGTATGGAAGGCCAGACGGAAAAGCGATAACACGTTTAATGACTTCATTTCATGCTGCCCAGTCAAGTTTTGGCCATTTCGAGCTTTTTGCCATCCTACATCACGCAACCAAAACAACGTCTTTCCTCGCAGTACGTGCTATCTGTTGTTTTAAGGTAGTAGCTTGATTATAATCAGTCTTAATGATCACTGGCTAGCACTCACCTACGCATATTATCGACGCAGAAACACTGGTGCCATCCGACACAAGCAATGATCCATAGGCAGCGACGATCAAAGACTTGAAGACAGAAGAGGTCAAGTCTAACTCCCATAGAGTAGGACGGCCCTTACTGTGGCCTTAAGAGAACAAGAATAAAAAGCAAGGTTAGAAGAAGTAAAGAACAAAAAGGGAAAAACGGAAACAATACTGAACGGTTGAGAAAAATAGGTGCCGTCAAAAGGAAGGGTTGAGGGCCAGAGACAACACCCAACTGGATCATAGCAGGATGGGTCTGTATCTACTCGTGCAGTTAACAAGAAAATAAGCACCGAATCGATCCAGTGCCCTTTCGTCATACATAGAACCGTGGTTCCCTAAAACAACCGGGAGCGTTAACGGTAGATAACTCATAGCAAGCTGTGGCTAGATGCTCGGAAGAAGCGCAGGCAACAAGTGCCAGAGAATGTGAAATGATGAACGAAGAAATAAGTATCGTATAGTACCAAATATAAGCCGAGGACTTTTGGACAATTTTCCATTTCTGTAGTGGGAGATCGGCTTAGAAAAAGGTTATGTGCAATTTGAAAAATCATATGCAAAATCTACTCAGGAATTCAATGCCCGCCACTGCCCCCATCTCCCCTTAGCACCACTCGCTAGTGACTGACGGTATTCCAAATTCACTGCTCTCGTCATTGTTGTGTTTCTCAATAATGGCATCGTCCTCACTTCCATCCATAGCGTTACTGATGCAGCATTATTTGAGTATTCATACGATAATTTCTGATGGAATATCCAGTCACGCTTCTTCCACTCACTCTGCAATTGTAACAATGCTAAGGTTTTTCAAACTGCCACCTTTCCACAATGCTAAATATGACGATGCCATCCATTTAATCCACCTGGCTCAAAGCCTATCTTTAAGGGGCTTATTGAGACAGACATCCAGTGGCTGTAGGATTGATGTAAAGCCACCGCGAATTAAAGCCATAGATGACTTCAGTTCACGGTCCCGTTTCTTCACATTCTCAGTTCGGTGTGCCCAAAAAAGAATCCCATAACAGCATAGCTGGTTGCTTTAAAAGGACACCGCTTCCCTTTCCACAAACTGCATTAAGCAAGTTTAAATTGTAACGTTGCCATCGTACACCAGCAATGCTCCGAAGGTAGCGGTGATCAAAAACAGACAGCCTCTCAATATCCTTTGCGCGAACAGGCGAAGTCTCGCAGCCATGGAGCAGAACCGCTCTCACTGTGGCATTGTAAGCTCGGCCCTTCAGAAATAGACTCACATCGGCTCGACGTCAAAGATGGCGGAGATTGGCAAAAGCAACCCAAGCCTTGGAGACGCGCAAAGAGACCTCATCCGTTAAATCATTAGCACTGAGGCAGCTTCCGAGGTAAAGGAACTTGTCCATCACTCCCAATGAATGACCTAGAAGGGTAAGGGTAGGAGCGGCGCCTAACCAGTCCCGCGGGAAAACCTTGCACCTCGATAGTGCGAAGGTCATTCCAAACTGGGAAACAGACACCTCCAACCTGCACAGGCCATTTTGGACGACCTGTGAGTAAGCGCAGAATATGGTGATGTCGTCTGCATAGTTCCAATCCCGAAGTCGGCCTCCCAGAAGCAGCTGGACGCCGCTGGGTTCGCAGTTCTCCAGAACACTCTCCAAGATTTCGTCCATAGCGAAACTGAACAAAAAGGGGATGCTGGGCAACCCTGTTTCAGGCTACTGGTGATACTAAAGGGGGCGAAAGTCCGCCGTACAACAGCACTCGGCCGAGGTTTGAGAGTAGATGGCTTGAAGTAAGGTGACATACTTCTCGGGAACTCCCCTTCTTAGTAGACAACTCCAGAGGGCCGCTTTGTCGACTGAGTCAAACACAGAGAACATTCGGGGCAGAGAGCTTAGCTACGTCAAGCCGCTTCTGGCGACGCTGCTGGGAGCCACCAAAATGTAGCGCGACCTACGCACACAACAGCGCGTGATCCGAAGTGAGGTAGGTACTCCAAATTGATTTGAAATCCTGTATGCAGCCCCGCCAGTGATAGCTAATGGTGATGTGGCCAATTTGTGTCCACGGATGGCCAGAATATGGGGGCCTCCAGGTGGCGCGTAGGCGCCAGGATACCCGAAAGCTAGTGCTCGACAGAAAGAGGCCGTGATTGGCGCAAAACGGGTTTTATAACAAACAAGGAATGGGTAGGCGGATTAAAATGGTGGATTGTACTAACAAAGAAACAGCCAAACGCTTACCTTACCTTGACGACACAACAGGAGATCGTAGGCTATGCTGACGGTGTATTCTTTGTAAACCTGAAAAGAAACAGGTAAAATTGTGGACTATTTACTCAAGAGCGTGTTCTAATGATTAAAGCTGTGATGGTTTGGTCGATAAAGTTGACAGGAAAGTGACAACCACCAAAGTGATCAAGAGGAGCTTGCAGTTCTTACACTGCAACCGATGCATGGAGACGGTGACCGCCGATTTCGAAGAAAAAAGGTGACGGTAAGACTCGTTGTCAACGACGCATTCACGTCGTTCGCCACATCATCGGCCGAATAACCTGTGATATCACCAAACGAATTGCAGCGAGAATAGAGGACACACACCAATGTAGTTAATCACCATCATTATGCACGTAAGCTATGGGTAGGAAACACCTCAGCTATTGTGTAGCGATACAAATCAATTATATGGTGGCATAAAAGTGCGAGAAAGAAAAATCGAGGAAGGTAAAACAACGAAAAATTATCATGCGTCAATAAAGAGATGGTGGTTAGAAGGGGAGGGTAAGCGCAAAACGGTAACAACAACAACAACAACAACAACAACAACAACAACAACAACAACAACAACAACAACAACAACAACAAAGTAGTACATCAGCCATTTGAACTGATGCTTCCCAGCGATACAACCATGATGACCTAAGGAATAAAGAACAATAAGAGGGAGAGAAGGGGGACTTACATGATAAACTAATTGTCTTAAGCAAACATTTAGGGTCAAGGCGCCTACACCTTGTGTTAACAACATACCGTCACAAACAATTAGCTATCGTGCAAAGATAAGACGGCATAATGAGACGGCTTCCTCGCGACTTTCACTGCAACGCGTCATAAGCAGCCACTACCCCGCAGATAACTCAGCACCAAACACACCTTAAACAGGCAATCCGAGTAGGAGATGGCAGCAGACGCACCACTGCCGACGACTGCAAACCGTGTCCTGTAACCTCTCGAGCCAAGCACAAGGCGGGTCACGTGGATTCCAGCTTGTAAGGCGAGACGAACCAACAGCACCCAGTTTAGTCGTCAGTAACTTCATTTCCCACTGCCAAATCAACTTTTGTCCACCTGGAGCCTTGCGTCACCCTATATCTAGCAAACAAAACAAGGCCCTTCTCGGTACGCGGTGAGCAGACATACGTAGTATGTGACTAAGTCAACGCAACTTATTTAGTGCAGTCCGTTGTCCTAAGGAACTAGCTTGGTTATCACTGCCTAGTTCTCGCTTACGCACACCATCGTTGCGGACACGCTGGTGCCATCCGACCCAAGCAATGCTTCGCAGACAACGATGGTCAAAGACTTGAAAGCGCCTCAGATTATCACTCACTCACATAGCCGGACGGCCTCACTGTGACCTTGTAAACACGGCCTTTCAGATGGAGGGAAACTCCCTCATGACGCCAAAGATGCGGCAGGTTCAAGAAGGCAGTTTTGGTTTTTGCAATGCGTAAACTGACTTCTTGGTCAACGCAGAGAGAAGACAAAGGTTGCGATATGTTAACATTTCGATTACTTTCATCAGTCGCAAAACGTAATGCGCTCATCGTTGCAAATGGAGCTATCAAGCTAGGTGAATCCATCAAGTACCTCGAGTTTCTCGTTATCAAGGGACAAAGCGTCATCAAGTGGCTAGTGGTCCTGCATCAACAGTATACAATTTGAAGGTGCTAAGCGCATACCAAATAATGAGACCACTTTAGACAGGCTATTCAGGGTTGATTATGCCGCCGCAACGTCGTCAAAAAAGCAAGACGATATCGTCAACATAATCAAGATCAACTAGCCTTTCACTAGGCAGCACTTCGACGCCTGCATCATGAAGGGAACACTCTATCATGCAGTGCACGAAGAAATGGAACAAAATCGGGGAAATTGGACAACCCTGACGAACGCCACTTCTTGTCAGAAGGCTATCCGACAGGCCGCGGTAGACACTGTCGCGGCCTGTGGTATCCGAGTATAGAGCACGTAAAATGTTCATATATTCATGGGAACACATTTCCGCAAAAGTAATCCGAACAGCATGCATCGATCTACTGAATCAAACGCATTCTTGCAGTTGAGGAAGACACTTATTGTCGGTCTCTGGTATGCGTGGCGCTGCTCTAGCACCTGCCACAGAATGAATATTTGGTCTATACAACCACGTCCTGGGTGAAAACCTGCCTGCTCTTATTTAATCCGAGATTCCCGTTCCACAGTGAGGCGATGAAGGAGAATCGAGGCCAGTAGTTTTGTTACAACTGGCGTTAGGCTAATACCTCTGTGGTTAGCACAGTCTGCGTGATTACACCTCTTGTATATTGTCACTGCAATCGATTCATTCCAGTTAGCAGGGACACTTCCTTCCAGATTTGTTCGAATAGGTGCTTTGCAGAGGACCTCACCAGTATGCCAGTGCACCGTACCGACGCTTCGATGCCATGCGACCACCATCAGTCGCGTGAGAACTAGTTATACTGAGAGGTATGCCGCACTTAATCGGGAGGGAGAGGCACAAACGCTGTCGAGTTCGGATCTTTGCCATGTCAGTAAGTGTATCTAACTTAACGAGCTCATTGTCTTTCGGACCCCAACTCGAGAGGCTCCAACCGGAGCGAAGTGCGAAATAATGGACTTCACTTATCTTGATCAAGTCATAGTCTGGCATGTCCTCCACCTTTTCGATCTGCATCCCAGCCGCGTAAACAACGTACGTTGCGGGAGTCGGTGTGCTGACATGCGCAACACGCGGCTGTCATCCGAGTCTGGCGAGTGACATAATGGTACTGAGCGGCTCACTCGCGCCTTCTGCACCAAATACACGATGCCGAAAACTCACATTGCTCACATGAGGTTCACCCCGGATGTGAGCTGAACTGTAAATACACCGGTGGTCGAACGTAATAAGCTTCTCTATACCTGTCGACTTGATGTGCCAAGTTTCGCAACCGTAAAGAAGGATTGAACGGACGGCTGCATAGTAAACTCCGCTCCTCAGAGCGAGAGTGATATCGGCGCCACAGGTGGCGGAGATCGGCAAGACTGCCCTGAGGTTTTTGACATATTGTTCGTGATTTTATCTGCCGATACACTCACTCAAATAGTTGAATTGCTGAACGCTTTCTAGCAGATCGCCATCAAGGCAAGCAATTGATATACGAAAGGCCTGCGACAGCCAACGTAAGCTGGTCAATTTCAACACAGGGCAATAGACATGCTAGAGCCAACTGGTGAACTTCGACGACGACGACTCCATGATGATACAATCAGATGTGAAAGTCTTTACGCAAAGTATCGATGAGCAAAGAAGGTCGGTCTCTACATTTTCTCAACGCACAGTAGCCAAGTTTCCGATATATACAGGTAGGTAAGATGGTATTTCACTACACCCACAGACGAGTTAGGAGTTAGAAATCCACAAAATGGGCTTGCGGACACACTCAGAAAACTGTGCTCGGTGCTTTGATGATAACAGGGGATACCAGTACGCCTCGATAAGTTAACTAATCGATCACTCAAAGGCACGCCTGTATAGACAAGATCATAGTAATACAAACAGGATTGATAGATAATTGTAAAAATGTAAAATTACCAGTAATGTGTATATGAAGACAGTAGGTATGAATGTACGTTTCTGTGTTGCTTGAATGTGTTAATTTGGCGTTACGTATAGTGCTGTGTTCAGTCAGGTCATCCGCATAAGAAGAGTTCGACGGAACTCTTCAGAATGGAGGACTGACGTCAATGAAGTGAGGAATGCGGTCCGGATAAGCGGTGATGGCAGGCCCGTGACCTTAAGGGTCACAAGAGCGGGTTCGAGTCGGCGTAGGGAACCGGACGACGCTCGCGGGGCTGTTGGCTGTTGCGCGGAGGCAAAGCGTCGGTATTGCGCACCGAGGTACCGCTGATACCTTTGTTCGGTGATAAGCAGAATTTACCGCGTGGGCCAAGTCCTCCAACAAGCCGCTCACATGAGTGTGTTCAGAAGCTGAGCCCCAACCTAGGATATGTCGACCGCGTTCGCGCTATGTTCGCCCGGTTTACATGTTTCTTTCCACGTCACCATCTCTGATAAGTCATCTCTGAAAGTGACCATACAAAGTAACAAACAGGCGACCACTGTGCACGCAAAAACTTTAGCGAGGAGGGCGATGCTTGGCATCATGTAATACGTAGAAAGCAACTCACCCAAGAAGCACACACAACTTGGAAGGGTCACCTGGTGGGAAGTAGTGCCACCAGTGAAGCTTAAAGGAACTCAAGAAACGGTCTATTGGGTTACACAAAGAGCGGAAGCGGCCGTCATTCGACAAGATAAAAGCTTCATGAGTGAGTGAGGCATCCTAACCGGTATGACGATGGACAAGACTGAGGACAACACGAAGAAAACTCACATCCGAAGGAATCACGTTGAACTTGGTGATGAACGAGTGTTTCACCCAGTCCACGGCGACTTCAGCCAGGAATATACAAGAGACGTCGAACATCATGGACCACAAATCGTCTGTAACAGAGACAGAAAGGAAGGGGTGTGCGTGTGTGGAGCGGATAAAAACACCGATTGTGTGAGTGCAATCTGCGTCACCCGAACGCTCATGGAATCGCGACTGGTGTTACTTGATTTGGAGGCGAGAGTGAGTGAGTTACGGGGGAGAGTAAAGCTGAAAAGATTGCCTTTCCATGACTTCCGCTGATGTGAACACCTGTAAACGAAGTTGGTCCAGGCAGCTGTCCAAGTATTCATATCCAGACCACAGGTGCCCTCCTCGATCAGAAGTACTAATGTCCGGTCATTCAGAAAGGTCAGTACCGACGGGGTGCTGCAAGCCATCTAGAGCGATTCTCATAGTCGTACATTGGTCAGATTATGCTAGATTTCGAACACAACATGCAATGATGCCAGATGTCTCGCAACCCCAGTTTAGATGGTTCCAATATGTGACGAAAGCTGGAAAATTACGCCATAGCTTCGAAGCGAGTGAATGGGTTGGAGTTAATAAACAATTAGTACTGAAACAACAGTGGGAGAAAAGTATGTGTCCAAGGTGTCAATGAGGAGCTATATGCAACGAGAGTGGACAGCGAATCCGCAACTTGCCATCAAAACGCTTGGAGCAACTTAATCGGCCGAGAAACTAGATTAGCTGCCGGCCAGTGACCGCCGTATTTCCTGGACCGTCCTTTTGGATCCACCATCTCGCGCAAATGTCAAATAGGAGATCAGTCTGATGAAGTGGTATACAGTCACACGACTAGATGGGCTTCCTCCAGCCCTCTTTAAATTCGTGGAGACCAGCCCTTGTGGAAGATATGCACGATTCATTCAGGGCCCAGGAAACGGTCCCAACCGATTGGAGCTGCACAGTTATAGTCCCGAATTTCGAAGGACTGATCTGTATCGCTTTTAAATTACTTGTCAGTGTCTTTCTCCATAGATTAACTGATACCAGTGAAAATCAGATTCTTGAAGAGCAAAATGGTTTCGGCGAAATCAAGGCAGTGTAATCACATTTTCACTTAGCGCCCGTTTATGGGAGCACCACCATCGACTCTATTCGTGTTCATCGAGATCAAACGTGTCTTCGATTTGAGGGATCGATGTGCGCATTGTGACCATTTTAATAGGAAAGGCGTGCCCAGCATCATCAGAGCGCTCTACTCGTGTAGTTCGGACAAAGTGAGGGTTTGCGCTAAGCTGCCGCAACTCTTCAATATCTCCAGTTGTGTGAGAGAAGGATGCTCGCTGTCCCATATTTTTCTTAACTTCGCTATTGAGAAAGTTATGGAAATTGTGTTCACTAGACACAACTTAATAAGTGTGGAGCTGCGTCCAGGGGATTAAAAAAGGCGAGTGGAATTTAGCGAGGTGACAGACGTTAAGCAGCACCATTGGTTGCAACATTGCACTAGGGAAAATAAGGTCGACATGGTCAATGCGGCAGCAGATAAAAGTTCTCCGAGGTGTAAACTCGCACTCCAAGACTAGTCGAAATGAAATAACATGTTATAACTGCAGTAAGCAATTCCATCCCCAGTGCGTCCAGTTACCGTTAGTTGGGGTGAAAGAACGACACAGCACACCAGACTGTTTGGTTAAATATAAAATATATGATCAACCCACTAGTACGGTGCATCGCCGTGCTGGCACAGAAATGTGGCAAGGTGACAGCGATTGTGCAACATGCGGCGGCTGGTGGAGCGGCCGCACAGCAACAAGTGACAAAAGAAGTCGGGTCCCGGTGCCTAAACTTCTGCTCCGCTCTGAAATAGAGTAGCCAAAACCAAGAGTATAGACAATAACGTAGAGCTAGGCACCTCAAGCACGAGAGCTCGCAAACACGCGGGCAGCCACGAACTACCAATCTCGGTGACCCCAACCTTGAAAAGAGTGGGGTGTCTGGGGCACATACTGCACCCGGGTTTATCCACTACTGTCGGAGGCCGCACAACATACGCATCCGTTGGCGTCGCATGCAGACCCAAGGCAATATTTGTGCTCACGTCTACAACTACCCAAAATAGCGACAAAAATAACACGAATAGATGTGAGTCACATAGAAGGCCGCGTACCGCACCGCTAAAGACACAAAACATACACATAACCCAAATTGTGACCACTCCATATGCGAGGCAATGGGAATCCAAGCTAAGCAGGCCAGTTTGGCTCGCCGCCCAATAACGGTTTTCCATGAAGAACCAATGTTATTTCACGTGGCACTTCAGTCGGGTGCCGGAATGGAGACCATCCACTTGTCACCTCATCACCTTCCTAATTCGTCATGCGTTGTTCGTATTTTCCCTGATACTTTGGGATGAATGTCGGCAAAAGCAAGGAGAATAGCGTGAGAAAAACGACGAAAGATAAATCTTAGTCCATGTTGTTCCAGAAATTGGTTCCTCCGATGAATCGCAAACCCAAGCTCATGACCCTGAGGAGGGCCACTACATCTGTGAAGCACTTTATCCCAATGGCGTGATTACCAAGTCAACATTAAGACTATTCTAAACATAAAACTATAAAGGATGAGGTCCAAGAGTGATGAAAGTTATGTTCCAATTCAAACAAATGGTAAAATGGTGTTCGGAAGTTAGCACAATAGATGCACCAAACTGTCACCAGAAATACGGCTGAGTCGGTCGAAGCCGGGATACCACCGGTTAGGCAAACAAAAACTAGCGAGATTTCATTGCGAGCCCAGCTCTTCGCATTTCCGAACCGGAAAGTAATGAAACTCCCAGCCACCCGATGACGAAACAGGCAATCGGCTACAAGTCGCCACTTGAGGCGTAAGTAGCGGATACACTGTTCACCAACCCAAACCGGCGCCCGGCGGTAGCTCAGAAATTCAGATAACTATTGTCAGCCGGTTCCACATGGGTCGGTGAAAATTCCAGAGGAACGTGTATGTCTCCAGATATGCTCCTGGCATCTGTAGCTCTCAAATGCTTGAATACAAAGCAGGCCGGTGGTCAAAGATCTGCGCGCCTTGTTTGCTACCATAAGGTCACTGGTTCGAATCCGCGTAGGGATGGGCATCCTCGCGGTATACTCAGCCCACGCTCGACTGGTGGTGGTCGCGCGGCAGCGAAGCGCCGTTACGACGTACAGCTGACACCTTCTTTATACAAACGCAAAGGATCTCAACAACTCGGTAAAACTAGGATCTCACAAAGCGTCACTGTCTTTGTACCTCAACATGAGAACAGAGACATGGCAGAACGACGTGATTATCGCCGCTGAGATCACAATACGTGGTATGTTACCCTTGCGCAAACACCGACCCCCTAAGGGACTATGTGATCCTTCATTACGGTTCCGACCTACACATCCGCCGCGTTAACGATCCAGAGGTCCAGGCCGCAGACTGGTTAGGATGCCAACAATCGGTGGCCAAAAGGACAGGGCGCCTGCGTTGCGGCTCAAACGTCACGGGTTCGAACCTGCGTAGGGGACGAGGCGAGCCACGCAGTATCCTTAGCCCATGCGCTACCAGTGGTGGTTGCGTGGCAACAGAGTCGATACGACGCACTGGCATACTTCTAATGCTTTTTTCGTTATGATGTCGCCTATGCCTAATGCAGGGGATATACATCCTTGTGCACATTAATTGAAACAAACTACGATTGCGTCTTTTTCTATGAATGTCATGTTTTTATACATGAAAGCTGCCGTTTTGCATTTATTTTTTTATTTTATTTTGGGAATAGATATTTCATCATTGTTTGTGAATCAGACGATGTAATAACTGCGCATGTCTAGTCGTTACCTCACCCAAAATTGCATCATACTTTTTATGGTTAGTAAGGTTTTTGTTTCAACTTCTTGTTTTTTGTGATTCAGTCATTGTTTGAGATGGACGTGACTCCCAGAAGGCGCATGAAAATCGTGACCTTGCACGAACACACAGACAAGACCTACAAGGACATAGCAAGAATAGTAGGCGTCAGTCCGGCAACCGTCAGCCGTGTGGTCAAAAAGAAAAAGGAAACGAGATGCATTTCGCCAAAACGCAAAGGGAAATGTGGTCCTGAGAGGAAAACCACTGCCAGGGATGACGCTTACCTAATACGGGAAAGTGTTAAAGATCCTCGAAAGACTAGTGACGTATTAAAACGTGATTTGGGGGAGAAAGGAATAGAAATCAGTTCTTCAACGGTTCGCAGGCGACTCCTGAAAGTTGGTCGGAAAGCCGGACGGCCTGTGAAAAAACAACTTCTGACAAAAGTAATGAAAGTTAAGCGTTACAAATGGGGATTAAAATACAAAAACTGGACAAAAGAAGATTGGAGAAAAGTCCTATTCAGCGATGAAAGTCATTTCTATGTTCATGGTCAGAGAAGTCAGTATGTTCGGAGGTCAGAGGGAGAAAAGGTTCGTGATTCCCACATTGACCACTTTGTGAAACACCCACAAAAGCAGATGTTTTGGGGGTGCTTTAGTTATTACGGCGTCGGCGCCTTGCTTCCAGTCCAGGGCATGATGCGCTCTCCACAATATATAGAAGTTCTCCAAAGAAGAGCTGTTCTAGAACTAAAAAAGACATTTCCTTTCATTACTTTTGTCAGAAGTTGTTTTTTCACAGGCCGTCCGGCTTTCCGACCAACTTTCAGGAGTCGCCTGCGAACCGTTGAAGAACTGATTTCTATTCCTTTCTCCCCCAAATCACATTTTAATACGTCACTAGTCTTTCGGTAAGCGTCATCCCTGGCAGTGGTTTTCCTCTCAGGACCACATTTCCTTTTGCGTTTTGGCGAAATGCATCCCGTTTCCTTTTTCTTTCTGACCACACGGCTGACGGTTGCCGGACTGACGCCTACTATTCTTGCTATATCCTTGTAGGTCTTGTCTGTGTGTTCGTGCAAGGTCACGATTTGCATGCGCCTTCTGGGAGTCACGTCCATCTCAAACAATGACTGAATCACAAAAAACAAGAAGTTGAAACAAAAACCTTACTAACCATAAAAAGTATTATGCAACCTTGGGTAATGTAACGACCAAACATGCGCAGTTATTACATCGTCTGAGTCACAAACAATGATGAAATATCTATTCCCAAAATAAAATAAAAAAATAAATGCAAAACGGCAGTTCTTATGTATAAAAACATGATATTCATAGAAAAAGAGACACAATCGTAGTTTGTTTCAATTAATGTGCACAAGGATGTAGATTTAGCAGCCATACTAGATTGCTAAAAAACGTCCACCTCCGCTAGTTGAACCGATTGACAAAATCTTACAGCCACGTTCTCCTCGTAGGGGACTTCAACCTGTGCGGCCCAGAAGCGCAGGCCATTCTCGCTGAACGACTCAAGGCGCATCTGTAAGAGCTAATCGCTAGTTCACCGCTGTAGAACCACTTAACCTCTACAACGCATTTACTGGGAGCTCTTGCCCACCAGCGGGGAACTCAAGATGGACATAGTAACATCGGGCCTTCCTTTGAGTCGCAGGGAACATGCGACACTACTTGACTGCCACATGTGATCCCCAGAATATCTTAAAGGTAGCACGGAAGAAGCTCACACTGTAAATAATTATGATAATCTGTCTGACCACATTGGCGAAACTACTTGGGATTTCCTAATCGGATGGTTTCCCAGAGATTTTGTCAAGTGATATATTGAACTAGTGGTAATCACATCAGAAACGAGGATCCATTACTAGAGAAAGAAGAAACCTTTCCTAAGCAACCTGACTCGAAAGTGCATAGCCTTGAGGCAAGCAGCTTTGTGTGCCCAAATAGCTTTTCTGAGCGACGACACCTGGATTGTCTGTACCACGCGTCAAACTAGTCCGGGAGGAAAGTAAAGTAGCAACAGGACTTTGTGAGATTTTAGTCTAACCCTAAGCTACTTTACACACAAGTGAACAAAATTCGTAGAGGCAAGCATGGAATTCCCGCTCTGCACACAAGTGGGCTAGCGTAAACGGTCAACGACCTTGGACAAAAATTCTGCTCTATCTTCCAGAGTACCGTAAAGGTACAACCATCCTAAGCAGATCCATCAGAGCTTAACAAAGATGTACTGAAAGGGCTGATTTCCTGGAGTAAGAACAGCTAGCCTGGCGCGGATGGCATTCGTTCATAGGCGTTGAAAGTGGCTGCCATGAGTTTAGCCGAACCGTTAGCAATCCTCTTTCAGCGATGTCATAAAGAGATGCACGAGAAGCACAAGATAATCACTCTAGTCTACAATAGTAGTAACCGTGCAGAACCAGAAAACTATCGCCGGATAACACCACTGCCGGTGACCTCCAAGGTCTTAGAGTCCAGTTTCCATGAGGCACACATGGGGTACCTGGAGAGTAAAAAAACAGTTTCGCTCCGGAGTAGCACGGATTTCGCCAGAATCGATCATGCACGACGAACCTACGATAGCTCGTGCATGCTGGACAGAGTTTGTCGGTGCCGGTCTAAGAGTAGATGCCGTCTATCTGGGTTTCTAAAAAGTATTTGACAGTCCGGATCACTGTATTCTACTTCACAAGTTTCGTGACTTAGGATACGCATGTTTCTCATTCGACGTCATTGGAAGACGAGGGTTCGCAACACCATAGCAGACCCGATCGAAGTCCAGTGCGGCGTACCTCAAAGGCTCGGTACTCGGACTGCGACTGTTCCTGGCCTACATAAATGACCTCTCGAAGGTGCGCTCTTTAGATTCTCTATTATTCGCCGATGCTCTGGATATATGGCGTGATATCACAACAATAGAGGATCACAGGACTAGGCAAGATGAATAAAGCGTACACTTGGTCCATCGGGAACATGCTTCGACTCAAGGCTACTAAATGCAAAGTTCTGAGCAAATGCCAGAAGATTACTCACGACTACCGGCTATGGATACAAATTCCACAGCGCACTTCCGAGTACGATCTCGGCGTGCTCGTGCAAGAGGATCTTGGCTAATTGAGGTAGACCGAAAGGGCGTCAAAGAAAGCAAATCAGCCCTTCGGTCTCCTTTGTAAGGCATTCGGTAAGTTCGATGCTACAGTCTTCCTGAGAATATTTGGCGCGTACGTGAGGCTGAGCGTGGAATACGACGTCCAGGCGTGACAATCATAGCAGAAGCAACACATCACTGCTCACATCTGGTAGAATACTGTGAGAGCAATGAGCACGTTCGACGCCCTGCATTTGATGTAAGAAGAAAAAGCGAACCGCTCTGTATCATTAGTTTAGGCACCAGCAACCGATGGCTGGGCCACGTGTTGCGCATGCTAGCACACCAACTCAAAGAGAGACGCATTGTTTGAGCAACCGGATACTGGATTAGAGAAGAGGAGGGAAGGTCAACAGATGACGTGGTCAAGAGGTATGAAGACCCACACTCTGAAACTTGGTCTCGGTTAGTGCCCCTCTCGACTGACAGCCTGGGGTCCCAAGGACGATGACCACGTTTGATCGGACACACATGTTGACAGGACCAGGAGCCCACCGCAATGGAGTTTGCGTTGTGAGTTCCTTTGTCCCTTCCCATCTATCATAGTTTGCTTCTTTAACAGCCCCCATCTCATTGCTGAGGCTTAATAAAAATATGATTTTCTTTATTTGCTCTGTACTGTTATCTTGTAGTTTCCAATATCTTACCGCAGTGCATTTTGTCACAGAGAGTTGAGAGATTTCTCACCTCTAGCTCACGTATGGAACGAATGAATGTGTCACTGAAGCAGATGAGGAACGCAATAGTTTCTGGATACTCGTGAGGGCAAGTACCTATCAAGAGTAGACACTGTGTGCTCGCATTACACGTCATTGATAACCCGCAACAGTTCACCAAGTGTTCTTGTTAGTGGGAGCAACAGGCCCATATAGCTGAAGTCGCCTGGAAAAGTGTTGCTCATACGGATCACACGCAGTTGATGAAAACGAAATTGACAGATCATCAAGCAGGCTAATCAAGCATGCCGGAGTCGTAAGGCAGTGTTTTTCAAATAGCAGTATTCCACTTGTTTTTCTGACGTCACCAGACAAGCAAGTCAAATGCTGAATGTGCATAGGAAGATACAGTAAGCGCTGGTTCGATTTTAATATCTTATTGAAGAGCACAAACGCGATGCATACACTGCAGAGCAGAACTAGATTACTTCTCGCGTGTCCCACTAGGTGGTCACATTAAATGGGCCGTAAACGAATTCGAGGCGGTAAGCTACTTGTGTGCGAGATTATGCTCGATGAGAACCCTAACAGACTGATGGAGGCTTGGTGTGATGAGGCACATTTGTGTGCCGAGGTGAAAGAGCGATTCACCTCATTTGGGGAACAGATAAACGAACGTCAAGAAGGTTAACGAGGCAATAGGCCACTACCGTTCAATGGAGATATCTGTGAGCGTGAAGAGCGTACATGAAGGTAACTGGAAAGAGGCCAGAAGTGCGCACGAAATTAGGACCTACTCACAGTCGCCAAGCAAAGTTAACAAATTCAATTCATAGCTAGAACGAATGCAATGCGATTGCTCACCTCCCCTTATTGGTCACAAACTGCTAATGAGGATAACGGTATAAACGTTGACAAGTATCAAGACTAAAGTAGGAACATCGTCTGTGAGGGAGAAAAACGCACCTGTGTTCCAACCGGTATCCGTCATATTGCGGCACACAACAATAAAAAGCCATATGGCGTAGTGGAAGCGCTCGCGGACATCGGCGCAGGCAATCTGGAACAAATTAGTTTTGCCCATCTTGCGAAATACGTTTCCTTTGAGTTCAACAAACTGTGGTGGGAAGGAAAGGAAGCGGGTGAAAACAAAGTCGGAGAAGCGCGAAAAGAACTCACGCACGGTTCTTTGTGTGAAAATGAGAGGGCATCAGTCAGAAAAGCAGCCGCCTATTGGAAGTAGTGATGGTGCATAGAGGAAAATATTTGACTGGGGAGTGAGATATTTCAATAAGTTTCCAGAGATAAGATTGTTAAGGACGTCCACATTCTAATCACCATTTTATTCAGAATGAAATCCATAGTCGTGAAATATATCAGTATTTATTATGGAACATATGAAAAGTGGTACATCGACATAACCGGAAAATATATTGTTTGTTATCAACATATTTATATACGTTAGCTAGAGGAGGGAAACATCTCAGCTACTGTGCCGCAATACATAAAAGAAAAATGCAACAGATGCAAGCCAGCTGAGCTACCAGCAACGGATGGGCATCGTTCCGGTAAGCAACCAGCTGGCAACTATGCAGCAAAAAAAATTTACTATGTAAAACTATATAAGGCTATAGTGAGGCCGTGATTGGAGTGGGAGGCTAAGAGGGATGGGGTGGGACAAAGAAACTCACAGCACAAACGCCATTAAGGTCAGCTCCTAGCCACATCAGCAAGTGTATCCAGCCAAACGCGTTCATCGTCTTTGGGACCCAAATAAGGAGTCGATACGCTTCAACCGAGGTCAGCTTCGAAGTGAGGGCCTTCATTCCTCTCGACTAAGTCATCGCTTGGCCACCCCTCCTCTTCTTCCATCCATACACCCGGCGCGCAAACAACGCATGTCGCGGGAGTCGGTGGACTGGCATGCGTAACACGTAGCCGAGCCATCGGAGCCTAGTGCGCGAAATGACGGTGCGGAGCATTTCATTTTCTTTTCCTGTGCCGTAAACAAGGCATTGAACATGCTCGTTGCTTACTCGGTGTTCACACCAGATGTGAGCCAAATTGCGAAGGCACCGGTAGTCGAACGCAACTAGAATCTTCATGTCCGCTGATCTGAAGGGTCAGGTTTCACAATCGTACTGTAGTATCGAACGTACCTCTCCATTGTACACTCTACCCTTCAGGGCAAAAGTGATGTCGCACCGGTGCCATAGGTGGCGAAGGTTGGCAAAAGCGCCTCGAGCTTTTGCTATACGGTTCGTGATCTCAGCTTCAATCCCACGGGCGCTGATACAAATTCCCAGGTAGTTGAATTCCTGAACGACTTCTAGCTGATCCCCACCAAGGGTCAGTGCGCACGCGGTCCCTGCCAATCTTGGAGGAACGCTTTGCACTTCGAGGGGTGCGAAGCAAAGGCCGAAGTGACGCACAGCCAGTCCTAATTTGTTCAGTGCCGCTTGGCACGTTTAGGAGCTGTCACAGATGAGGGCAATGTCATCTGCATACTCCAAGTCAAGAAGTCGTTCTCCTGGGAGCAAATCCAAACCAATTAAGTCATGTCCTGTGAACGCGATTTCTATGACTTCGTCAATAGCGAAGAGGAAAGATGACAGCGGGCATCCTTGTCTCACACCGCTGGAGATATTAAAGGGTGACGACAGCTTGCCGTAAGCTGAGCTATGCGCATATAATGATCGGATAAAATTTACGTATTTCTTGGGTACACGTTTCCTGACTAGACAGTCACAAAGTGCACGTCTATGCACCCAAGCGAATGCACCTTTGATATCGAAGAACATGACAACGGTGGGCCGCCAATATATGTGGCGGTGCTCCAACAACTGACGCAAAGTGAAGATGTGGTCAATGCAGCCACGACCTAGAAGAAACCCGGCTTGCTCTACAAGGATATGGCTTTCATGAGTGCCAGTAAGTCTGTGAAGGATTAGAGAGGCAAGCAATTTAGAAGCGATGGAAATCAGCCTAATTCCTCTATGGTCACCGCATTGCGATCGTGAGCATCCTTTGAAAATTTGGACTATGACGGAGCGGCTCCAGTCGGTTGGGACAGTTTCCTGCTCACAAAGGTTCACTAGGAACTCGTATAAATCAACCACAAGAGCAGGGCCCCCGACTTTGAAGAGAGCTGGAGGATGATCATCTGGTCCCGCGGCTTTATTTAATTTCGACAGTCCGATTTCACGTTCCACTTCTGAGCGGGAGGGCGGAACCAAAGGGAAAGCCCACGGAGCAGGGCGAGCACTGGCCGGTGGGGAATCTAACAATTCCGGTCAATTAAATTGCTTTTCAAAATGCTCAACCCAACGCTCCAAAGGTTTTGACAAGCTGTGGATAGTCTGTCCACTTTCGTCATAAACTGTTTCACTGACACCAGGTCTCCTGCTGCCAGTTACCCGTATCAGACGGAATAACTTTCGATGATTACCAAGGGCAGCGGCCACTTCCATCTCTGACGCACGAAGAGACCACCAGAATTCGCGGTCTCTCTTCAGGCTAGCACGGAGTTTTGCCCGGAGCTCTTTGCGAGTTTCATTGTGTTTGCTTCCAGCCGGAATATGCCGGCGAGCTTTGATAAGTTCCAGAGACCGCGAAGAGCCCCAACGTAAGTAGTGGCTATTAGACTTACCACATGAGAATTTACCTGCTGCTAGTAAGGTCTGGTGAACATACAACCAGTAACCTTCAATTGAGCGCTTACTCAACCCGCATGTCAGCGTAGTTCGATACGCATGCAGAACAGCTGGCTTCACCAGTTGACTGGTGTCAATGCGCTCACAGCGTCATCGTGGGCGTCCGCCAAAACACTTCAGCACATACAAGTGCACACACATGTGCTCCAAATCCAGCGACAGTTCTGGACGCAGCCTCTCCATCGGTAACTGATTGCAATGTGATCGGTTTGCGTCCAAGGCTGATGGGCGCCAAGTCACCCTCCGGCGGATGCTGTGTCGGAAGTTAATGCTCGCAAGAAATAAGCGAGCATCTTCACACAAATGAAGTAACCGATCACCGTTACCATTACAGGGGCCTACACCGTGTAGGCCGCCCAAATGCAGCACATCTGTGGATAATTTTCCAACTGGTGCGTTCAGATTCCCAGCCAGTACTACAGTATCCGTGCTTGTGCAATGGTGAAGGAACTCGGTCAGTTGGTGGTAGAAGTCGTCTTTTACCGAATCATCGCTACAGTTTGTGGGCGCATAGGCAGCGATGATGGACAGACACCTATTAGTCCCGCGCGACTTCGAAGCTTTAAACAAGCCAGCCAATCGGACCGCACACATCCGGCTACTGATTGGAATCCAATCAACCAGAGCAGCTTCAGCCCGGGGACTCAGGGCAATGCCAACACCAGCTTGGCCGGTGCTCGTAGCTGCATCGTCACCGGATAGGCGCAATGAGAATGTGCTGCTAGTGTCACATGAAGGGGATCGCAAAGTGAGCACAGAGCTCGGATCTTGCAGGCGGGTCTCTGTTAAGTAGCAGATATCGATGGAGAGGGTCTCTAAAGTTCGGGTAAGTGTTGCCTGTTGACCAATCTGTAGCAATGTGCATACATTGAGGCATGCCGATCTGCAGGAGGATCGAGGGCTCCAAATGGAAGGCGATGAACTGGGGTGGAACATGGACTTGTCGACAGGACAGAAAGGACACTCCACATTTGTATGTGAGTTGAAAATAGAAGATAAAAGCCTAGCAAAGCATGTTGAGGAGGGCCAAGAATCGGAGGGTTGAAAACTGGGAGGATAAAAGTGGAGTTGGAACGGGACGATAAGGGTGGAAATGCGTGAGAGGGAATAAGAAGACGGTAAGGCTTGAGCAGTAGCATCCAAACCCCTATCCACCCTGCTCGATGCAGCAGATAGGGCGCCGTTTATTATCCTCTGCGACAGCCAGAGCGTCGGGAAACTGTTTGAAGAAAAATTCATTGTATTGCGTGGGCAGGATACTGTCAGGTTGCCCATGCGATTAGGGTTCGCAACCAAAGCCTTTGGTTCAAAAATCTGACCGCAAGGCAGAGGATTTAACGGTGGGCTACAAAAAGTCCGTTTTAATGAATGAGTCAACCTCATTCCAACCCTCAATGTGGAGGACCAGGAGGCTGAGTTTGTCTGGTCTCTAACAATTGACCAATCTAGTATGGGTGGCTCTGTAGGTGCAAAAAAGCACCAACCAGCATAGCTCAATGAAACTAAGGCACGCAAAACATGGCACCGCGGCAAGGTCCAGCCTCATTGCGATGGACATATCGTTTGTAAACAAAAGTGATAAACTTATCTGGTTCATGGCAATTAGAGTATAAGCTAGAAAGGTCTACTACAAATCCGGAAGAGCACCAGAGGATAGTTTGAACCGATTGGCGCTAGTCGTATAAACCACGCGATCATGGATTCGAGCTCCTAAATGGGACCAAAGCAAAGTACACACCTGAGGAGCCCCAATAGAGCGAAAGGATCATCTGGTGCTTTCCCGGATTTTTGAGTGATATTTTGTCAGTTGACCTTTGTGAGCCAAATAAATCGTACCAGACCCGTCTACTCATAAGTAATTTAAGTGTGTGATGTTGGTACGTAAATAAGACAACTACTGGTTACACCAAAGCAGGTGAGTAAAAATTAGTTTAAAACTGAGCTTAGATGATCAAGCACATAGACTGAATGGAAACTATGCTATCTGTCGCATTGTAAACGCAACGACTTGAAGAGACCACAATGTGTGTGTGTGTGTGTTTGATCACACTTGTTACTGGTGTCCAAAATTCCCACAACGATCGAATGTCAATAAATTAGCATAAAGCGGCCGGAATAGAATACTCGTGGACGAAAGATAATTGATCAATTTCAGCAAATATTGAGAAAGGTGCTCATGGATAGCAATTAATCAGTGGTTTCAGAAAACTGACGGGCCTCGTATGCGAGATGAAGAAACTGCTAAGGCTCGTGAATCTCGACAATCGGATTTTCTAAATGACGCACAAGCGTACTCACGGCTGGACGGCCTCCACATTCGAATAAAACGGCGCCATGAAAAGTAAGTAGCAGCCTACCGATTAATTCAGTAACACTAAGACCAAACAGATGGGTGGTAAAGTTACCACCTGAATAGCATCGGTCACCTGGTGAACTGGGCGTAACCCGTGGAACACATGTGATGGCGAAGTAAAATTTCACCGGCTGCACTGACACCAATGGTATCCATTCCATTTATTAGTGAAGCTAACCAACAAGGGGGTACTTAACCAGTTATTCAGTTCACAGCACTTTGAAACTGATCATGAAATCTTCACATCAAATACAACAGGGATGTCAACAGTTCCTGAAGAAAGGTTAAGATAAGGCGACTTCGGTGTCAGGCTCGTTTATTCCGTTTGGTGGTACATCGGCGCGTAGTGAAAAAGCATCCAAGTTCTTATCCTCAGGAGACTGAAAGGACGAAGGGTGTCATCCGCTAGCATGCTTGTCCTGCTTAGTGAGAAAATGGTCCCCAGATGAGATGACTTAGGAAAAGTAGAGAGGGTGTATCACTGTTCTGTGCTGGGCGACAGAGCATGCATACAGTCACTGCCAGACTGCGAAGAATGTACTAGGAAGAAAAGGAGCAAGGGCATTCCGCAACCAGTGGAGACCAGAGGCTTAGCGATAAAAGCATTGGAGTCAAAACAAAGACTAGCTCGTTAGACTAAGCAATTGCTGTATGGTGAGCTGGGGGTTGTACCCTCACCAAGAAAAGCGACACCTGACGTCGTAACCACAAGTCAAAGGAACGTGGCCGTTAATTAGCAGATTGCCATGTCATAGAACTGCATGTCGAGATAAAAGATTAGGTGACCTACACCCAACTCCAATGGGGATAAGATTGATGTGTGTGGAACATGCGGACTTAGGTTTGCAGTTGACAGATCAACGACACACGCAAATCATCGCGTCGCGTGTTGTAAACACAGAGTATGCTCATTTTTCAAAGGAGACTCGCATTGTGTATAGGCCTGAAATGACCGATGTGTCTGAGGTAGCACGTACATTGGTCGGACTGAGACAGAAGGTTGTTGACTCGGACAATGGAGCACATTCCAAGGAGCTTAGAGTTAAGCGGTCTTGAGTTACCCGTCAATCCGATCGTTCAGCATCCGGCTGATTGCACTGTATGCGAAGACCCCGCGAATCAATCAGGGGCATTGGAGTAAGCAAAATACTCCACTGTCAGGTTTGCCGAGGCAGGTTATCCGACGACAAGCTAAGCTTATGCGCAAATAGCTCGACCTACTGATCAAGCTGGCTTTGCCCTGGTGAAATGTATATCCAGCCACAGGAAGCGAGAAAGTCGATCGCAGAAGTATCTAATTGAGTATTCGAATCGACCCAGAAAAATTTTACCACTGCATCTATGTAAGCGGCTGCCATAGAATTCACGAAATAAGATACATACAAATTAACGTGAAAAAATGTGGTTTGTTCTTGTTGTTTTAAGCTAAAAGACCCGTGGTGACGTGGTTCAATGGGGAGACCAACAGGAGAGATATGCATATTATATCTAAAGCAGGTTATCACAGTTGCAATTTGCCGCGTGCAAATAACCGTAACATTTAGGCACCTACGTATCACTTTGCCCGTAATAATAATAGTAAGAAGAAGAAAAGCATTCTAGTCCAGAGTCACAGATAGTAAACAAGGCCGAAGTAAGGAAGTTACCAGCAGTTTGGTTCTACAGCTCATTTCGGATGGCTTTCGTATAAACTGCGTAAGGGTAGGTAAGCCTTTGTAAACCAACTTACTCGGACGAATGCCCTGTAGGCCAGGCGAGGATGGTTAACATTTAATTATGTGTAAAGGCTACAGAGATTAGCTGTGACTCGTAAGCAAATGTGGGACTGTGTGAAGCCGATACGTTTGACAGTAAAGAAATATTTGCTGAACTTAGTAGCTCATCTGATGTGAAACAAGCTAAATACTAATAATATAATATCAATATAGCCATTACTATTATTAGTACGGCAAGAACAATAATTGGTACCACCGCTACTACTACTACTAAAATGAATACAAGTAAAGTAGTATATAGCCAGTCAGCGGTGTATGAGTACGCATTAAAACTAAGATGGTAGTAAAGAGAACAGGCGATGTAGTCATGTAAACTCACGTTATTAGAAATGAAGACAGTTACTAGAGATTTGTTCTGTGAGTTGAAGGCGACGTTGATTGTCGTCACTTGGCATAGCAGCAGGAAACAATGGGCGACTAGAATAAAGTGCGGAAAAGACGGGTCAAATGATGTGTGTATGAAAGTGAAGTGTCGCATTCGGTGATGGGTCGCCTTCTCGATAGGGTATGCAAGATAGTTGTCCAATGCATAGCAAAACGCTAAGAATTAGTTTACCTATATAGATGAAAATCATGTCAAAAGTTTGGCCTATACAATAAGACGTGGGGCTGGCGAAACACCAAGTAAGGTAGTTAAAATGAATGAAAGGGAAGAAATACTTAGTGGCAAACGAAAGAATCACAAGTGGGCGGAGATCGCCAGTAGTTCCCAACGAAACCTCGCAGGAGAGGCGAGCAAAGGAACTGGGAGAAATTGGTGTTCAAGTTTCGATATACTCATGAGTAGGGGATATTTGATGAAATCAGTTGGGTATTTCTTCGCAGCGGATTCCAAATCAGTCCTCCACATATCCGGAAAAGCACTAGACGGTCGTTCCGACCTGATGGGCCTCGTCAGCAGTGCGCAATTACCGGTTTAATCAGAAGCCCATGACCAAAAGCGGCTTCCACCTCCAGCAAGTAGCTTATGCCATGAGCCAAGGGGGCAGCGGAGGATCGTCATGATTTGCAAACTATGATACAGCGCGCAAGTTACGAAAGCTAAAGAGGAGATTAGTGATGTTGTGACGTTGGCCAGCTGTAGTCGCATTCACTCACGCCTGTCGAGCATCAACCCGTGTCATGATGACGGACTGATTTCATCAGCTTTCCGTGTGGCTTGCCGCAGGCCCACTTCAAGTCTCGAAACCGTGTCACACAGTTCTTTCGTTGCGGCTGTCTAGAAGTTAATTATGAAAGAGGATTTCCAATAACAGATAGTCCTCCATATGTCCGGAAAAGCCCTATACGACCGTTACGATCTGTTGAGTCTCGTCAGTAGTGCGCTTTGATCGGATTAATCAGTTTAATAAGAGAAATACGGTATGGTCCAAGCTGCTATGGTGACCAGTCAAAAACGTACTCAACGTTTTCTCATGAACCCGTCCATGGCGATAAGGAGTCGAAGGGAAAGACTTGTCAGTCCCCAGAGTTGTCGCCTTAGACAGGTTTGACAGTATTTGTTGGAAGGATTCAACGCAGTCAGACACATAACACACCCCAAGAAAAGCGTTAAACGGCTGCTTTGTCTGTTTACAATTGGTTGGTAGCCGTATCAACAGGAGCGGAACATAAAACTTTTCCCTTAATAATCAGCAGACGAAGGGACTAAGGAGATGGTAGACAGTCATGACTGATAACTAACTTCGATATGGCCGTTGTATATGTCATGAAGACGGAGACGATAGAACTGATCCTAGAATCACGAGTTTCCTTGCAAATTGTCACCAGAAAGGTGTCATGGAGGCTGGCTAAGACGATTGCATCAAGCAGAATAAATAGAAAAATAAAATCGTGCCGCCACCACTGCTCTCTAAATACGACACTTTAGCAAGCAAAGTTTTGGCGAGTGAAAGAAATTCCCTTCTATGGTGGAAATATATTTGCCATGAGGCTGTGATTACTCCAACTCAAGCGAAGTGTACCGCGGGGGGTTATTCTTCACTTCCTCTTAAAGATGGCGGGTCGGTCGGTAGCCTCAAGGATCACAAGTCTGCATTCTAATCCGAAGACGCGGGTTTGAGTTTGCGTAGGGGCCGGGCGATCTACGCAGTAGCCATAGCCCGTCAGGCTGGTGGTGGCTTCGCGGCAGCGATGGGTCGGTATTACGTACCAACGTACTGGTGATGCCTTTCTTCTCTGCCATTTCTTTCTTAGAAATCGCGTGTGCTTCTGTTCCGTCCGCTACTTCCACAGTTGAAGTTCAACTTGCTATCTAATGACAGAAGTAGAGTGAACAAACGATTGTGTAGCCGCTACTAAATAGCTTGGAAAAACACTCCACGTTTCGGCGTTTCATAGCTCGTTAAGTTGTACATCATACCGGATAGCGGCTAATAAGGCAAAGAGGGGATGCAGAAACGAATTGATTATTCGGTGAGTTGCTCGGGTACGTTCCGTCGTTTGGTGGGAAGTGATTTTGTTTAAATTTGCGTAGTCCATGAGTCAACGCGTCAGTTCAGTTACACAACTATGATCAGAGTGCCGAATTGCGGTGGATCCAGTTGCCAGGAGCTACATCACAAGAATAACAGAAAATAACAACGACAAAAGAATGAGGCTGAATGTAAATGGAGTGTGAAGAAAATGGAATCGAGAAAAAGTGCGTTAAACTAAACGGGATTGAATGAAAATTAACGGTTGGATGCAAGAAACCGATGGCAAAAGTGACACCGACTACACGATTGCACCATCACCGAAAGAGTCTGTAACCACTGATGTGAACCAACTGGCACCAAGTCTCGCAGTAGATTCCTTCATGCTTTCTAAGTCACATCGACGACTGGGCACCTAGCGTTAACACCCAAAATGGTGCAGTGACTGCTGAGGAATACGATCAACGAGCAAACAGAAGACATGACCTAGCCAAGGTAAGAGGTTAAGTTTCAGCAAAGGCATCAGCGGTACGCCGGTATGCAGTATCGACGCTTCGCTGCCGCACCACCACCACCGATTTTACGTGGGCTAAGGATACTGCGAGGGTCGCCTTGCACTTACGCAAGCTCGAACCCAGGCCGCCAGATTACGAGACAAGCGCGTTACCTCTAGGCTACGGGCCGGCAATGTCCAGCAAACACCCGAGCGATGTCAATGAATCAAGGCAGCTTTCTCAAATTAGACCACTAACGGCCGCATATTATTGATTCAAAGGTTGGAATCCACCCACCCATCTCACTCGTGGCATGCAACCGGTACCAACGAAACGTCTGCCATTGTCTCCAACGAAATGCATGTATAGAGTGGATAACTTTCGGGAAATATTCATTGTGACGGCGGACAGGGAAAGGCGCAAGGAGACTACCGGTTTTCATGCGAAAACCGGCTGATCATGACCGTGTGAAGACCAGAAGTGCAATGTAAGCCAGGGTAGCTGAATTCACTATCACTAGATGTCTAGATTATGACCGAGTAACTGGACTGATGTGTATCATAGATAACGACGCCTGGTTACGTTTACCTAACAACCTCATAAGCTGCAGAGAACTGAACTTACAAAGACAGATCAATGCGAAAGAGTATTGCAACAGTAGATCGCGTGCCAAGGCCAAAAGATCTTCGACGCTGTCGCCAGAAGCCTCGTTCGTTTGGTGCCAACAACAGCGCCTACACAATTTGCTTGCCGTATGTAAGAGATCATCCAACGCATCCTGACATACTGCGGAAAGGAGACGATCTGCAACCTGCGATGGAAGGGAGGATCAAGACCAGTCACGTAACGGACATACCTCTAGTAAATTGAAGAAAATGTAAATTTTGATAACCGATTGTGTCCGAATCTCGTGGTACGCAACCGACGTGTCCACTTTGACCAGAAGGAAAGTACAAATCAGAAGTAGCGAGAACCGGATGAGATCACGAACCTCGTGACTGAACAGAAGAGGAATTCGGCAGCTTGTCCTGTTGAATGCGTGAGGAGGAAAGGTAAGAAAGCCCTTCAAGATGTGAAGTGCAGTTCAAAAGGCAAGAAAACGACCAAGGGTCATAGTTACAAACGTCGGCCGAGAGGGTTACGCATTTGTGCTGTAATCCGGAAGTCATCGGTTCGAATCCGCGTAGGTGCGGGCGACCTAGCGGTACACCTAGTCCATGCACGACCAGTAGTGTCGCGTGGCAGCGAAGTGTTTGTAAGTTGTGCTGATTTCCCTTTAGCCTACACAAAGAAATATCCCGAATAACTGTGCCAACTGGTGTGCGCAATCCAAAGGGCGGTTGCTAAAACGATACTGCAAACATCAACCCTGCATGTGTGGACCCCGTTTGAACTTGCCGCCATTTAGTTGACCAGTCAGACATGTTAGGATACCGTTAATCACGCTATCGTTCAAAGAAACCGGTCGTGCGTATGTTGCACGAATAAATGCATGCACTGTTTGGTCAATGTGAATAAGCGCTTGCGACGCAAAATGTGCTCTCTCTGCTCGTCTACCGTGCAGCGCCTGACTGTGGTTTATCATAATACTAGGCATCACGAATGGAAAAACAATGAACGAGAATATCGGATAATAACGCGTTTTAAACATCTAGAAGGCTTTTATGGTGCAAATCGTCGAACTTACGACTAAGCTTCAATTCAGTACCGATTCTGAACCGGCACCCGAAAGACAAGTCACAGGTGAAGTAGTACTCACTATGTCTAAACTCTGCTGTTCTTTTGGAACAACTAGGAGACTGTCCGAAACAGCCTGTATGCGTTGTCGATCATGGTTGCACAACAGAGCACCCAGAATAGAGGCAAACACCGTGTTAGCACATTTAGTAGATACAAATCTACAAGGAAACATGCATGGTGCATTCTATCCAACCTACCGCGTGCACTAGCGTCACATGTGATCGGTCATATATCGGCTACTGGCAGGTGAAGCACAAGCGATTGCTATTTCACCCAGTAACTCAGACCAATGTGTAGAAAATAAAACCGTCCACGCACAGTCAGCGTGGCTACCCCTCCATGACAGTGACATGTCATGTGGACTACGCACCAACCACTTGACTTTGACGGCTATGGAACCAATCATCATCTAGGACATTCATCCGGACCATCTTAGTCGCCGAATGTTATTGTATCAGAACCACTAAAAACAACCAATTCTATGTTCCTGATTTCTACGCCTGAGGTGTTTCATCAGTTCAGTGTAAACGGGTTGCGGTCCACTGGGAACCACTAACTTCCGATGAAAGTTCCGCAGAAAGCGTGTCAACGGTGAGCACAAGACGGAAAAGAACAACAAAGGGATGTACTACATGCCATCACCATCGGAGACCATAACGTACTACCGTTGGAAAGAGAAGCACCGATATTACAAGATTACAACTTGTAGTATCAGTGACTAAAACAAAACACCAGTATCAAAACGACGAAAAGCAGGTGACATTATTTCGAAATGTTGAAACGAAACAAGGCTCATAAACTTGACGACTATCCTCTTTCATAGCTGAAAATGCAGGTGAATCTTTGCGAACTGGACAGGCTTCTTTGTTTAACAGGATTTGGGACACGGAAGAGGTGCTTTCAAAGTGATGATTGTCATCTCCCAAGAAGGATCCGCGAAATATGTGCAAAAATCATGACGGTTGCGATCCCATAGCCACTAACGCAATTTGGGAAGAACGCACACGGAAAACTCATAACGAAATCACAACACAGAATCACAAATGCAACACAAATCCGGAACCGGTCTACAGACCCACCCTCGGAAAGAAAGAAGACAATACCTCAAACACAAGACCTATTCGCACGCCAACAAAGAACATCAGAAAAATGTGGAAACTTATGATTGGTTCAGGTCAGGTCATGTCAAATCAGCCAGTCACAACGCTCGTTTGAAGCGGGAACAGATAACGCGCACCGTTTGAAAGGCAAAAATCGTGACCAACAATAAGTCCATAGTTTTAGCTGGTTCTTGTGTAGTTCTTGGGAAACATGGCCTTTTCCCAACAATCCCCTCTTAGGAAAGCTCGTATCTAGAATGCCGAGGATCCAGTTGCAAGGATCTTGTTTGACGGCACTTACGATCGGTCCATCTTCTGGGTTGCAAGGAGACCCGTTCGGGCGGTGCATTTGGTGCCTCTGTCAATGGGTTAGGGATGAGCCCGAACGTGTCTAGCAGTATTTCTAGCGGCAATTCTTCGTCAGTGGCTGTAAGGTTGTCATGGCGTGGGCGAAGTTGATTTTGTGTCGCATCCACTTGCGCGATCCAACATTCACTTCATACAATAGAGATCCACGGCGACCAGCTGCCACTGCTGGGACCCACGCTGGACGACCATGCCTGTAATCACGAGAGTAGACTAATTCACCAATTGAGAATGTTTTCCCTGCTTGATGCACTGGAATTGGTGACGATTTCCCTGACGGCAACACTGCATCGAAGATGGTGCGTGGTTTCCTGCGTAAAAGACGTTCGGCAGGGGAGAATCTATTTGGTGTTGCCGGATTTGGAGCGTTCCCATAAAGCATGAGGAGCTCCTGAATATTTTCATCATAGTTTCCTTACCTCACATTTTCAATGGAGCGCGTTTAAAAGTTTCCACGAACCGTTCGATTAAAAGTGGTACGGTAGGGTGCGAACGTGGTTAATAACACTCCAACGGCAGAAATTCTCGAAGTATCGATGTAAATTGGGTTGCGGTATCTGAAACCAAGGTATCTGGAAACCCATGCTGGCCGAAAATTTTGCGAAGGGTAGAGATAGTGGACGAGGTTGTCGCCTGTGACAGAGAAATGATTTCGGGCCACTTCGAAGTTGCATCGATTACGATGAGAGATATAATGCTGTTGACTGGGCGAGCAAAATCGACGTGTACGCAAAAGCACGGCTCATCAGATTGGGTCCACGGCTGTGGAGTGACACGCTGTAGAGGCGTCTGCAGCGATTACGATTGGTACCTTCGGATCAAAATGTGTTAGGATGAAGTCGGAACCTAATATTGCTTTCAGGTGGTTGAATGCGCGTTCACATTCTGGTGACCATGACCAAACGCTGTCAATTTTAAGCAGTTTATTCAACGGTGCTCCAGCATCGTGGATGGCGGATAAGGACGTGCTGTAGTGAGTCACTAGTCCGAGATAAGACTGTAGAGAAGGCACGTCCTTTGGAGCGGACTACGCGCACATTTTCAGGGTCAGCACGACGGCCATTTTTGTCGATGATGAAACCAAGGTATTTGATTTCTGAAAGGGAGAACTGGGATTTGTCCGGTTTCAGCCAGAATCCGTATTCCACAACTCGACGTAAAACCTTACATACCCTTCCGTGCAGCTCGTCAGTGGTGTGACCTAATATAATGATCTCATCCAGGTACGCTTTCGCGCCAGTTACACCAGAGAACATGGGATCCATTATCTGCTGATAGACTTCTGGCTTAGTGGTTAGACCATCACAAGCGAATATGAAACTTCAGAATCATGCCAACTGAAACAAAACAATTAAAAAACGGAGGGGGGAAGCTCGCAGCAGGAGTTCTACTTTTGCATGACAACGCACCTGGTCACACTTCACAAGTGGCCGTATCAGAAGCAGCCATACCCCGATTATTCACCAGATCTGGAAGCAACAGAAATTTATCTGCTTCCTAACATAAAATCTCACCTCCAGGGTCACAGATTTGCCGACGATGATGAGTTGATCAGTGCTGTGGAGCTGTGTTTAGAGAGACAGTCTTCGACCTTCTTCCACAAAGTGATAACAATATTTGAACACCTCTGGACTAATTGCATTCAACTAATGGGAGATAATGTTGAATAGGAATAACGCATTACTCGGATAGCTGGCTTCTTGCTATGTCCGGCCAAGGACTTTTTGATTCACGCTTGTATTTATGCGGTAAAATGCCGGCTCTAAACATGAATACAGATTAATACTGATCGGCGCATGTGTAAAGTATTGATCCGAAGGAGGCCATTTGAAGCGGTCTTCAATAGTGCGCATCTCGTCATGGTTTTTAAGGTGGATGGGGCGAGTTGCCCAATGCGATATCTGGTCCAAGGGAACAAAGCTTATGCTAAAGAAAATGTCATAAAGAAATCAGGAGTGATGGGGGCCAAGGTGGCTAAGCAACAAAGTACTAGTAGATAAAAACGTCAAAAGTTATCAGCAGTATTTGGGCACACTGCACCGAGGTTTCCCTGCCGCGCGAACGCAATAACCGCGTCAGAACTAGCTATACCATGAGGTTGTCCACGCCTAGGCTGGTTCGAACCGGTGACCTTCAGATTACAAGGAAAGAGTGCAATCCTTTCGCTCACCGACCGGTTTATGTGTGCAATGTTTGTCGGCACTGTGTGCCTGATAGAGTAAAGAAAGACATCACCAGTACGACTGCAAGTTGTACCGAGATTTCGCTGCCACGTGATGACCAGCAGTCGCGTGTGCGTTCGGTATACGGGGACGTCGTCTGCAGCTACGCAGATTCGAACCAGCGACCTTAGGATTACAAGACGGACATTTTACTCCTTCGGTTACTGATCGACAAGTAGAGTAAAGCCTCAGAGTGATCGAGAAATGAAACAAAACCAAACGCAAGGCAAATGGTGGAAAGAAATAGTGCTCCGGGTGTATCCCATCTCCTTGAACAGCAGCCCAAGAATTGACCGACTCAGCGGCTGTAGACATTACCAGACGAAAAACAATCAATATATCAATGGCACCTCTGCATTCAGTCAATGATAGAGATCAACTTTGCCATCCAATGAATATAGCTAGCCGGTGGCTGAAGGGAAAAGCCAGACGTAGCCGATTCGAGTCTGCCTAGTGATGGACCAGGGTACACTCGCAGTATCCTTAGCCTACGGGCGACTGATGATGATTGCGTGACAGCGAAGTGTCGGTACAGTGTACTGCTGATGTCTAGTCTTGCGTTTTATGACTGTTTCAAGCGCCAAATTTCCTCTCTGATGCTTTTCCTTCACAAGCCAAAACCGTGTCAGCACTTTACCAACAGAGCGTGGGGAAGAATGACAAATCGATCCATCGCACGTCAGTGCTCGACTCATCATGCAGTGGAGCGAACGAAACACATAACGCGTACTGGGTGGAAGAAGGACACTCACTTTAGGGAAGTTTTCCAAAATGACTGCGGCACCTCGGTCAGAAGGTGAAACAGTAGACGCGCAGCGACTAGGATGCATCGAAGTGGGAGGAAGGTGTAAATAACAAGCAGATGATCGAGGCATTGTAGCAAGCCATAGTTCATGAACTGAAAACAAATGTTTAAAATAAAGGAAAAACGGTAAACAGGTGATGAATCCGAATGCGAGCGTGATACATGAATATGTCTAAAGTAACCGATGTCAGAAAATTCGTCACGGAAAAAATAAACGCAATAATTAATTAAAAACCCAGGTATGCAAGCAAAAACGGTTGACAAATTCGTCGCCATTGAGCTTTTGCAAGAAGCCAATCCCCATTTCAGTGTCAGAGGGTGACCAAGATGGAACAAAACTTGTTCTACAAAATGAAGGGACAAGTTCTAAAATGTTTCAGCACCGCCTATGGAAAGCTAACGTTTCGCAAATCACAATTTAGCAAGATAGCAAAGTGATCGAAGGAGTAATTGCTTCAGCGGCTACTTGGATTATGGTACTATCAGTGGTTCGGAAGGGGACTACAGAATATGAACAGCTACAGCCGGTCAGCGGCCAAAAGGATTAGGCGTCCGCCGTAAAATTCCAGAAATCGTCAGTTCGAATCTGTGTATGTATGCACAACCCACGCAGCAATCCCTAGCCAGCGCGCGTATAGTGGAAGTCTCGCACGGCGCGCCAGTGTACTGATGATGGCGGGGCCTTAAAATCGGACAATGCCTTTTTATGGGAACATCGTTTCCATCAAATATGGATGACAGTTTCTCTGATCTATTGCCTGTTAAATTCGACCATGAAATTCGCATTATGCCTGTCCGACTGGGTCTGTTGCCATGCAGCACCTCGATCACGAATTCAAAGTGGCAGCGTGATCTTGAACGAATACAAAAGATGAGCAAAGGGAGCTAAGAACGAACTGTCTTTTTTGATTCTCGAAACAGAGAGAGAGAAAATTGCGAACATGGATGGTGTATTATTATCCAAAAGTGGTCTTGCTTTGCACTTACTGCAGACTGTTTTCAATGGAACAGTATAGTTTATCGACCGATGAGGGTTTCGGGAATAATGGAAATGAAATCCAAATCTAGTAAATCGCATACTCAGGTACTCCGCAAATGGAAGGATCTGGAGATCCAGCAAGTTGAACGAAAGACGATTTGCAAAATGTAACAAGCACTTATGGAAAAGGAAACAAGAAGGTAGCGTGGAATTCTAGCTACATTGGTGAATATCGTTAGGCTTACCGCCATAGTGGTCCCCTTTAAACAGCAGTTGACTTTTCACCGGAACATAATTGGTACTTCAGCTACCGCAGATTCAACAGTTTCCAACGAATATTGTTAGCATATTTTTCGGTTACACTATTTAAAGATCATTAGTGTAATGTACTGCGCTGGTATGTTGAAAAAGAACTTTGACATTCAGCGTGTGCCATGCAAAAAGTTATCAAAAATCGTTTTCATAATTTAAAGAATCATCATCCCGATTGACAAACTGGGCTAGGACGCTGTACATTCAACAGAAAGTAAACACCAATGAATTAGTTACACGAAAATTATTACCTGTCTGTACGAGACTGTGCGTGTGCGCACCACATGCCATTTTCCCACTTATACAATTTGCATCTTTAACGTTGCTATTCTAGTTCGCCTGAGGTAGTTATTGTAAAATGCTGAAAAGGTACCCACTCGGGTGCGTAAAGCCTGTATTGACTTGACTTGATCCCTACACTTTTTCATAGAGCAGTGTTTTTGGTGTTCTTGAGAATGTTCCACGTAACCAACCTCGTTCAGACATCCAAACCAAAAATCCAGAGAAAAATTAGGGGACGCCTTCATTCTACTAGGATTTGCCAATAGTAAAAATAAATAATGTATCAGCTGTACGCCATAACGGCGCTTCGCTGTCTCGCTTGGGATGAGTATACCGCGAGAACGCCCTCTCCTACGCGGATTCGAACCGGTGACGTTATGGCTGCAAGCTAGGCGTGCAGAGCATTCGGCCAGGAGCGCACATCAGTTGTATAGTGTTGGGTCTAAACCCATCACCTTACAACTACGAACCATGGACTTAGCCCCCCTGAGAAAGGGAATCGGCAGTACCCCGGCACAATGTACCGAGGCTTCGGTGTCTTATCTTGGCACGATAGCCAGCTGTTTGTGACGGTATGTTGTCTACACAAGGTGTAGACACCTTGATCCCGAATGTTTGCTTAGGGCATTAAGGTTTTCAGGTAAGTCCCCCTACTCTCCCTCCTATTATTCTTTACTTCATAGGTCATCATGGTTGTATGGCAGCGAAGCATCAGTTCAAACCGTTGATGCCCTGCCGTTTGATGATTGATTGATGATGAGGATGATTCGGTGCTACGCAAGTATGGGCACACAGCGATTTAGTCCGCACCTACTCGGATTCGAATCGGTGATAGTCAAATTACAAGACAAGCACGTAAGCCAGTGAGGAAAGAGTGGCAGCACAATGACTGCAAGTCAAAGACAATCTTTTGAATGAAGAGAAGATTCGCGGGCAACTTACTGATTCAAAATATTGAGGGACAGTGATGAAAGTGTAAACTCTGTTGGTGAAAGGACCCCGGTCTTCAGTGCCTGAGTGTTCTTGTCTCTTGCGTACGGATTGGACCACTTCCTCTCTCAAGTAAGAGGTAAAGCTGAACTCTACAAAGGTAGGAAGTGTGATCGATATGTATAATATCGGACGGCGGAAACATTCACATAAATATCCATAACAAAGTTAGTACGATGTAGGTAGTAAGGTGAAGCAGTGTAGTACATACAGGGGTGGTTCATCCAACCAAATGCACCTCTATTCATATAAATGACAAACAGGAAATACAAGGCCCATAAAGATGACAAGGTAAACCATATGCTACCATAATGGGAACGATAACAAGACTGGGAGTTAGCAATAAAAAGAAATGCAGGTCTGATAAAAGAAATCGAGGTGGAAATGTACAAACTACGCTACCATAAAATACGTCTGCTTTAGAGAGTTGCGGATTGGGATAAGAGAGATATCCGAATTCTCCGTTTCCCACAATTTTACAATAAGTGTTTACAAGAATCCGGTCTCATCGTTAACACTCAAGAATGAATGACAAAGCACTCCCAATGGGACAACTGGCCAGTGTAAAATAGCGAAAACACACAGTGATCGAAGAACGTCAAGCTCATGTAAAAATGGATTTGCTTGAAAGCAGACGTTGTCTTGCTTATGTGAACGTAGGATAATGATCAATGTTCGAAATGTGATGAAGAATTGCCGATAAACACCAATGAACGGAAGCAAAAATACCACGGGAACGCACTTCGAAAGGGATTTCGCACATCCCACTCCGAATCTGCCGTTTGTTGCTGATTCTTGACAACCTCAGGGTTCATCAAATATGAGACGCAATGTGCAAAACTAAAAAAGAAAGCATAAATATTTCAGCGATTTCGGTGAAGAATTTTGCAAACATTTAAGCGCTTTTTTGTAGCACGAGAGCCAATAAGCATTGCCACACTTGGACCAGTGAGTCTGAGATCAACTCCAATTCAGTGGATCAACCTCAGCACACAGCAAGGCCGATCCCCCTACCGTGAACACTATCGACAAAGAGATAAGACAACAAGATACACGGTTGGGAAACGTAAGCGAGATTATAAACAACTCCATCCAAGATAGTAGAAGAGTATTGTCAAAGAAATGGTTAACAACCAGAAGCAATTAGAAACTGTAGCATCATAAGCTCCATAGTCAACACGTATCTGTTAAAGCATCTAGCCACTGATGTGAACTACCTTGGGGGTTTAATCCAGTTGGATCAGTTCCAGAAATGCCAAGCTAATTGAGCAGTTGAACTGTGCCCATGTCAGGTAATTGACAGACTGTAGTGGCTGCTCTCATAAAAACACGGAATACAGAAGTGAGTGATCGCATCGGCAATAGAAGCAGCACAGACAAAACGGAGATTTTCGTGGAAAGTAGAAGCCACGATTAAACGTCGCATAATAATCTGCCTCAACGGGGAATCGAACCCCGGACCCAGGGATCCGTGGGTCAGGGGTTCGATTTACCGTCGAGGCAGATTATTGTGTAAAGTTTAATCGTGGCTTCTACTTTCTACGAAAAGTACACTACTCACAAAAACCACCAGTAAAACGGAGATACCAGTATGAAGAATGGACTAGTGTAGTACCGCAGCAATGTTGGTTAAACGCCAATTCGTATAATTTACGAGACGTTCCCACCAGATATGAGCAGAGACAAATGGCTAGTGATGAACGAAAAGCAAACAGTAGTATGCCGGTACGCAGTACCCACGCCTTGCCGCCGCGCAAACACCAATAGTAGCACGTTACCTGTTGATAATGTGACGGTCGTTCGGTTTCCTACGCAGGCTCGAACCCGCGTCCTCAGATTACAGGACAGGCATGGGATCCGTAAGGTCACGGACCAGCACCACAAAGCATCAACGTGCCGAGCTTACTAAGCAAGCCAACATTTCAACACCCCACTCAGGTTAGCAACATTTCGTATTATTGTGAGGATAAGTTGGTGTCCATCTTCGCAACTTGACTGTACCTTAACGTGGTGCGATTGCTTGCGTACCTCCTCGACTCATTGAGTTATACTGCGTGGTGCACACTGGTCCCTTGGAAGTTATTCCTGAAATGTTGATCATCGCAAGCGACGGATTTGCTTGAGGCTCGAGTGACTCGTAAAAAACTCCGGGGTCCAGCCGAGAAAGCCGAAACATTAGATACGGTACTACTAAACAAAATAAAACGTAAATACATATTTACATACCACAACAGTGCCCGTTCAGTCCCAAAACAATCGGGTCTTCGTATGGTTACACAATGAAATAACATCGGCGCACTTGCTACCGCACAGCAAGGCCACACAGCACAGATTCAAAGCTAGGAATAAGAGCGTTCTTTTTAGGGTGTACAAAATCTTATCCCATTGGTGAGTGGTACGGCGCACAGGAAGATACAAGGTGTCATTACATTCAAATAGAGTGAGATTAACGCGTCTCCGTGCGGATATGAGATCAAAAACCAACAAGGGCCTGGGTGTTCTTGGGGTTAGTTGCACGGAGTGGGAATGTACAATCGTCACAGGGGGGTTGGAATGAAACCAAGTAGACATGGATAGAAAAACTGCATAGCACAATAACCCGTAGGACCAGGCGTCAGAGGTGATCGGGAACAAATCTCGATACCACGGTGTGAGTTGCAAGGAAAAGATGGAGCTTTGCATAGTTAATCGCATGGGGTAGACAAATACTGGGTTATCCGGGGATCTCGGAAGAAGGCGCAGATGCTGTGGTTATCTGTCTATGATCTGGACATATAGGCTGTGGTTTTAGTGGTAATTCTTCAGCCTACAATCAACGGTTAGAGGTCAGACAAACTCAGTCTCCTGGTCCTCCATCTCTGATGACTGGCGGACAATGTTTTGAGACAAAGATTTTGGTTGAGGACCATACTCGTCCTCCAATCTAGAACGAGGCACTCTGAAGTATCTTAACCCAGGCACAACTATGACTACTTCTTCAAACTACAACAACACCCAGCATTGGACGTCGCGCAGATTATCAAGGATCGCCTTAACTGCGGCACAAAGCAGGGCGCATAAAGGAAAACATGCTATTACTGGCACCTAACACCTTTCCTTTTCATTTGTTTCCCCTACATCCCACCCAACCCCCATTACTAAACTACATTACACAATTCCCAGCTTAATTGACTGCAGCCGCGATGCTACTGGAATCGAACCATCTGCAGCCCCCTTGCAGCACAACCCAATGGACGCCAAGCTGTCCCGATTCCCTAGCGGAATTCAACGCTCCCACTCTAAAACAAATAGGTCAAAAGGTTGCGTGTGCATGCAGGCTGGATATTTATATGTGTTGCATGTCCGAACTTAAGATCAATGGCCCTCACAGGGTTGTCGAATCAAATGCGCCCGACTAATGCTCTCGCTATCGGTTGCATGCATCCGCAGACACCGATGCCACAACCACTGGTCAAGCTGGAGCGAGCATTTTTTTCAGCTCCAAGGCTGTCGTCGGTGATTGATTGGATTCCCGTGAGCGGCAGTCTGTGTGTAGCTCCTTTGACGACATCGAATAAGGTTGATCCACAAAGTAGCACTAGACGCTATTTGTTCGAGGTTTTACCGTACGTCCCCAACGAATGCAGCTCTGATGATGCAGAATATACACCTTCCACCAAGAAATGTACACGAAACAACGCAGTGTTACCAGTTTTTATATCACAGTTATTACAGGGGATATATATATATATATATTTATATATGTATATATAGCTGTTGGCTGTTGTTTGATATCCCCTGTGTGGCTGCGCGTGATGTGCATGTTGACAAGGAGCCTATCTGTATATTACCCGCTACCTCGTCCATACTGGCTCCAGGAGACAGTTTGTCGTTGCTGGAGGGGACGGGGTGCACGGTCCTTGTGATCGTGTTGGGATCAAAGAGTGGTTCCATGCACTCAGTGTAGAGCGGACTACGATCCAGCAACCGCCTGTGTCGGCCAGCTCCGTTGATGAAACGTGCTCCCATCCGCATGCCTCCCGATCTTATTTCTTCGGGTTTACACTGCCTATGGGGTAGGTGGTTGGAACTGTGGGTGGTGCAGCGCAAGCCACCCATGGTCCCTCTGTAGGCGTAGGCGTCCTGTGGCTTGCCACAGTGACAGAGAAATCCGAAACCGGATGCCGCCAACCATTTATTGATATATTTGTGCATATATATGTGGAATCGAATAAATGGGAAAATAGGAAAACAGGATTAGAATACAATAAGAATGAAAACTATCACATTTTTGTTCAATTTTCACTCAAAGTTCTTGCGTTTGTTGGATGTTTTTCACCAGGGGAGGAAAGCAGGATCACCGCCAAAAGCTAAGATACACGACCGCCACTGACGACGGCGATGTCTAAACAACAAAGTCCCGTTAAATGACAAGGAGAATGATTTTACCTTATGTAAAAACATCTCCGAGATGACGACAAGATTATGCAAACAGCACGGAGTTACAGTGGCTCACAAACCCATCGTCACATTGAGAAGAACCCAGTCGAAACCCAAAGCTAGACCTGAAGCACGCGAAAGACGAAATGTTATTTACAAGATACGGTGTCAAAAGTGCGATAAGTACTATGTAGGTCAGACAGGAAGACGACTGTCTACAAGAACACAAGAGCATAAGAGAGCTTGTAAGAACCACTATGCTCTCTCACTGGTTCCAATACCTACAGACGAAGAAGGACATCGCTTCGATTGCAACAACGCCGATGTCCTAGCACAAGGAGAGACACGGAAAGGAAGAGAGCTCTTCGAAGCATGGTAATCGACGAAGCACTCGCTAAACATGCACGTCGAGATTGACACAGTTTACGAAACGCTAAGATAGAGAGAATCGAAACAACTTAAAAACCGTCGTGAGCAGCTAAACGAGCTGTCAACAACACAGCGGCAACAGCCGGGGCAAAACCATCCCATGGATCGCCCGTGTCTATCGGAGAAGTTGGCCAGGCGGATGGTCATGGGGCACAGATCGAGGTCAATTCAATGTCACTTGCTAATCAAGCATAAATCGACGACCAAGTCAGCGGATTATGTTTGACCCAGGAGCGCACTGAGAAAGTCACCTAGTGTGGTGATGAAACGTTTGCATAATAATTGCGTAGCTCGGCGTACAGTTGAATCCATGCACAAGATAAATCGTCCAATTGGGCTCGGAGGAGAAGTGGTGCGGGAAATCTATATTGCGTTGCTGTCGCTGGCCAGGGATACAAAAGCGCAAGCGCCTAGAGGTTGTTATGGAGAGAAAACCAGAGGTGGGCACCTTTGCAACATATTTTAAGTCCTCTAATTTTAAGTTGGGAAACAAAAATGACCTACTGTTGCTGAACACTATCTGTTTGCACCAGGAGTTGAAGAGAATAATGGGGTAGAAACCTGCCAAAGTATTAAGCGCTTCGCTTATTGGTGCATTTTTTGGGTGGACATGTAATTCAAGCAGAATGCAAAGAAGGATGTGGGTGGCACGGGGTTAATTGCCAAGAAGAAAACGCTGGCTATCAAGAGTAGAAAACGTGGACTAATTAGCATTCAAAGTTCAGTGAAGGAGCGATGTCGTTAGGGAGTAAACAACTCAGCTGTAGTGCAAACAGAGTTGCAAAACCAGCTCTGGTATGGACTGTGGGTTGCGTAATAAGATGGATAGCGACGCTAAAATTTACTAATTGTTTCACTCCAAGGTGGACGTCTACTGTAAAACATACACACCAAATTGACAGCTTAGAAGAGTGGGTTGGGAACCGGATTAATTGCGTGGCAAGTTGTGCTCGCTATTATGAGATCGGACCGTGCGCAAGCAATCACTTAAA